TCTGTCAAATAACTCATTCAACAGGAAAAGTAAAAGCAATGTCTTCATACAACTCTCAAACCAGTTGAGAGAGAGCCTAACACCAGTATGGTGTGCTCCATGCCACACAAAGCACAAACTGCAGCATTTTATTGCTCCAGACTGTTTAGACCAAAGTGTTATAACCCTTTCTAGTAGGAAACTCCCTGTCAAACATTGGCTTTATGTTGAAACCAAGACCTTGATGCAAACCTTAAAATCTTTTTGTCTCTCTCACCCCTGTTCCTCCTCTCTTGATCCTACAGGTGCTGCTGGCTTTAGATATAGCAATAAGGCTGTTTTGGCATAAGTCATTATTATTATTATTGTTATAATAGGCATCTCAACTGGAAGGCAAACCAGAACATCCCTCACCTCAGTCTCTCTTACAAAAATATAATGCTTGATTTTATGGTCTAGTTAAGCCAAGCTCAAAGAGCTTTCAGTTGCCAAGAGTGACAACACTTTCTATGCTTGGGTTGTTGGTTATTTTCTTTGTTTGTTTTTGCCAGCCTTCCCTATATTGTCTTACGGAATGGGCAGAAACACTATCCCAAGGGAGGAGAGGCAGGATCTGCATTCCTTTCCCTGTCAGCAGCAACAAATGGCTGGCTCAGCTGAGCATGGAGCAGCCACCAGGAATCTACCCCTGGCCACTTCAAAAACAACCTGCTGCACAGGGAGAGAGGTGGCACAAAAGTTGAGAAAAGTATTTTACAGAAGTGGTGCTGATCACATTACCAGAGCACAACAGACCCTCGGTTGTAATCTTCTAACCTTGTTTTTACCAGACTACCAAGGTGACCTTTAATGAATACAGTTTTGACAGAAAGCTATTTGCTACTTCCAGAACATTTTTAATTAAAAAAAGTACCTCAAAAAGTCCTTGGATTAAAAACATCTTCTGGGTAGAAACAGGAACTTGAAATCAAACAGATCCTGCATACAGAGAGCAACCTGCTGCTGTGCTGCAAGAAATCAAACCAAATCAAAAGGCGATTTTGCACTCATTCAGACCTCTTGGAGGGCTGTAGAGAGAACATCTGTGGACTGAGTTTATTCCCAATTTTTAAGCTTGATTACTAGCAGATCTTAAAATAGCTAGTGGATGCTAAGCTGTAAATAAAATGTGCAGACTAACAAAAGCTGCAACCCTGATATTTGTGCTCATTCTGTAATCATTGCTTATTATCCCAGAGTTTTTTTCAGTGGCTTCATTCACTTGAAATGATTCTGTAGAGGAACAAGCCTCTTGCTAGAGCAATCTGTAAGAAGCTATTGCTATGAAATTATTCACTGTGTTTCATGCTTGAAGGAGGACACAGGTGATGCCTGTGTCCCACTTGTGGCCATGTAAATTCATACAGCATCTACATTTAAAATAAACCTAAGGCAAAGGAGATGTTGGTATTTGTGTACAAAATTTAAACATCTTAAAACAACTAAGGTTATGGCAGTAATACCCCAGAATGGAACTGGGCAATGCTCTACAGGATCCACTTCAAACAAGACAACAGTCTTTACCTCAAGCAGGTAGCAGCATTTTTATCTCTTCCAAAATTCAGCTTCCTTTCTAAATACAGAAAGGCATCTTTTTGAAAAATCAGGATTTCAAATGCTTTTTTAAATCCAAAAAGAGTAAAGCTTAAGCATTCCCTTATAAAACCAGTACAAAGATATCTGCTTTTATGCACAGCGACAAGCAAGCAGAGTAAACCCATGCATAAAAAACTGCCAAAAAGCATGACCTGAATTTTCAGAAAATGAACAGGAAACTTTTTTTCAAATCTATGTACTCAGGTAACATGGCAATAAGGGAGTTCTTGGTCAGCAGCAATGCAAAAATTTGCTGGATGGTTCATTCAGTCCTGCTACTTACACTGAGAAGTGAACTGAGAACTGTACACACAGGAAACATGGAAGACTCTAGGCAGAGACATAACAGACTCCTACATTTAACACTGGATTAGATTAAAAGCTTCTATTGCCAGAAGCCTATTGTAATTATATTTAGGTATCACCTGCCAGCTTCCAGGTGTTAAAGGGCATTTAAGATAGAGAATCCTCATTTGAATTCTCAAATACAATCAGCAGATGGAAAACTGTTCCTTTTGTTTACTGCAGCTTGACAAGGCCTTTTTATTTTTGTCAGCCATTAATATTAAAGACCTATTTCCTTGATTTAATTTAGATTTTGAAAGTCACTGACTTCTGCTCCACAGAGGAAGTTTGCATCCATGACTTCTCCCTTCCCAGTAGCCCAGGCTGCTAGGCAAAACTCTTCCTGTCAGTACAATTAAGAGTGGAAATGTTTCATTCCTTCCTATTGATGCTTCTGCAGGTTCTGCTGGCTGATCCTGCCCTTGAGGCTGACTGCAAAGCTGAGTTTCTTAGACCAGGAACAAAGAACCTAGCCCTGTATGCCATGGAGTGGGAAAGAATGATGTGCCCCAAAAGCTGGGGCATTTCTGAGGCTGCACAGAAGGTTGCAGATGAAATTTTTGGTCCCATCTCCAGCCCACTTAGCTTGCACCCCAGCTCTGCCAAGGGGATGCCAGGCCTTGCCCTGTTGGCATCCTCATTTCCTCTAAAGGCAGCAGGAAAATTCTCCTTTCACAACTCCTAAGCGGAATTTGCTCCCTACGCAGCTATCCTGGTGCAGGTTCATTTGCAAGCTCTCTAAACTAGACTGTTGGAGGGTTTGCCCCTAAAAAACTTTATTTAAAAAAAAAAAAAGTATTTTTTGGTTTTCATATTTACATCAGATCATCTCATGCAGCACCTGAGTGCCCACCCTGCACAAGAGAGAGGAGGGAGACCACAGGAGCCCATGAGCACAGGCACCCTGAGGGGCTGAGCGCTGCAGCTGCACAAGGCCCTGGCACAGGGATTGCTGGGAGCAAAGGAGGGGCACAGTGGGAATCTCCAGAAGCTCAGACTCAGAGGGACAGGAGCGGGAGTGCCTTGACAACATATTTTCAGGTGACTATACACTCAGCATTAGCCCTCTCCTCAGTGTAACACAGCTCCTAAAATATGACAATTTCCTCAGAATTATAGTATTAAACACAAACAAAATCTCTTTTCATAAACACAAATATACACCCACATATACACACTTACAGAACAGGAACTTTATGAAGCAACCAAGTGAAATGAAGTGTTTGAAAACTACTTCAGCCTACAAGCTCCAGGCAGACTTTTACTGCCTTTACTCAGTTCTATTAACCAGCACACACTTATCTATAAAGCGTTCTTCTTTATTTAAGTTAAACAAATTTTCAAGGATGGTTTCCATCTATAAAATGAACAAGTACAAGCTCTGTACAGCAGACTTTTCAAACCAACTGAAAAAAACAGTTTCCAAACTATGTTTTGAAAATCTGCAAAATAAACAGTATCACCATTCTTGTTCTGAAGACATAAGAAAAGTTCTCAGGAGACTCCATCACAATTTGCTTCAAGGGCTCTTAATTTATCTTTCAAATGGATTAATTTCTTCAGCATTAAAAACCCCTAAAATCACAGTAAGTAACTTTGGCACACTGTCATGTAAACATAACAAAAGGATACTACTTCTTGTCTGTTCTCTCAAAGAAAAGCATACAGCTCCTATATTAAAACCCCTATGCACAACATCCATGGGGAATTACTGAAAAGATGTTCCTACTTTTGAATATTGTAGTCATTATAAACTAACACAATGGAATATGGATTTTTAAAATTTTCTTTTTACTAGCAATTCTGATTCAGAGATAAGAGGCAGGTCAATATTCAGATTTGCAGCTTCTGATTTCAGTTAGTACCACCCTCAATCAGATGAAAGCTGTGAATGGAAATACCTCCACAGCTGAAGCTGAGTGGTTGGGTTTTTTAAACTTCCTTTTAAATTCTGTTTTCCAAAGCCTCAAACAAATGGTTTGCTGCTAAGCTCATATTTCAGCATTGGTTTTCCAAAACATGAAGGCATCTATTGCTATGTTTATGAAATACGTTCTTCAAGTTCTCAGCTGGGTTAAAAGGCTACAGGGAGAGACTGAAAGTTTATCCACTGGCCTTTAAAACAGGCAAGTTTTGGAGAAAGTGGATTGTGGATAAGCAGAGAAAAAGTATTATTTATTTATAAAAAAAGTCAGATGATGATGGATGGGTAAAACTGGATTTAAGGGCCCCATCCAAAAGGTAAGCAGGTAACTGCAGGTCATAACTTGAGACACACAAGGTATCTATGGGCACAGTGAGTGAAGCCACCTTGCCCATGAGAGTACCATCTCTACACCTGATGCATAGGTACAGACAAGGGAAAATAAAAAAAAAATCAGGAACTACTCTACTTCCAGGACAAAGAAAGAGGGGAACTGTACCAGCATACTACAGTACAACAGATGTTTTTCATCTCCTTATGATCAACCCTTATATTTTCCCAAGATCCATCTTTCCAAAACCACTTCCTGGCATTCCATGTCTGCACCAATTTTTGTCAATGCTGTCTCACTTATTAATACTTTTTTACCTTCCTTCTCATTTTAAAAGCTCATTGAAGCATTTGTTTTAATAAAAAGTATATAGTCTATGCAAACATAAGAAAGGACAGGTCAAAGTTGGGGTTACCTTTGACAGCATTTATAAAAATGACATCAGCTGGACCAAAGCTGCAAAATGCACAAGCTCTATGGTTAAAAACACATAGGCTATGCAGGTATCCAGGCTGATTCCCAGAGTCAAGCCTGAATTAATTCAAAATCTATATTTAAAGAAACAAAATGGAAGAAAATTCCCCAGTAGTAGGTGTATAAATTAAGCAAGTGCAATTCAGAGATATTACATAGCTGCTCATCCTTGCAAATTAAAATTCAGATCTTGTGCTGTTGTCAGTGGTGTTTCAATTCTAACTTGTTTCTGCAACTCAAAAGGGGAGTTTGAGACAATTTTTTCCTCATTAGGGCCCAGAATAAAACTCTGCTGAATCAATACACCTGCACAAAAGTTCTGTGCAGTTTATATAATTTTGTAACAAAGGAAGAAATATTTTAAAGACAAAGTACTACAGAAATGATTAACACAAATATAAAGTACAGGTTTAAAGTTATCCAGAGCACAGGTGATGAATTCCCAAGCTGGAATAAACAATCCAAGCAATCATCTGGGCAGATGCATTTACTTCCTCTGCTATTTTCTTTCTCCTCCTTAGTTTCATGATCTCCAGCAAGGGTGAAGTGTTAAGAAGTAGATCCAGTTTGCAAAGCAAAAGCATCCAGTGTTAGCACGGACATCATACCCAGCAGCACAAAATCCGCACCCTCAGAGTTTCTCTCTCCTAGCACTCCGATCCAATTTCTGGTTATACATATGTCAATCACTTTGTTGATAATTATAGGATGATGAAAACTGATACAAATCATTGGGACAATATATATACTTTCATATAATTATATTTAGAGTCCATCATAGAAAAGTTCATATTCAAATTACCAAGTACACACAGGAGAGAAAAAAGGAACTTCAAAATGACACTTCTGGTTCTGGAAATGACAAATCATGACTTCTATTCCAATGGAGTTTTCAAATGACCTTCTCCTAGTAATTTTGCCCACCCTCCCTCCCACACTGTTCCCCACAGATGTTTCTTCAGATCCTTTTGTTTACAATACGTCAGTTGTTCCTACAGTTAATTATCTGTTGTGCAAGTAGTAGCTGAAGACAGAAAGGAACAGCTGAAGTCTGCAGCACAATTCCTTCTTCCTGTGAAGTAATGCTCAGTGACATCTTTGCAGTGCTCCGAGTCCCCTGGATCCCTGGTGTCTGCTTCAGCACTCTACTTTCAGATAAAGGTGGAATACTGAGGTATATAAGTTCCGTGGAAAGTTTTAAGAAATACATCAGTAATTCAATCAAAACTTTGCCCAATGTTTTTCTGTTGAAACAGCATTTTGCTTATAAGTCCTTCTACTGCTGCAGATTAAGTGTGAATTTCCACTGCTGTGACAAAGAAGGATTGCAGATCTCAACGGTGAGACCACCATTTTTGGCATTTCGGCTGTCTAGACAGAGGTTGCTGCCAACGTGCCTCAGTTTAGAATTGCTTTCAATTTGCTCCCATTTCTGGAAGAGAAAATACAGTTATTAACCTGGAAAAGTAAGAAAAGGAAGAATTCTACATCATGTCCTTTGAAGTCTTCATAAGCTTCCCTGGCTTGTGCCTGGAAATGTGTCCAACCTGCAATAATAGGAGCAGTTTAGATGATTCTTGAGCACGAGTCTAAGTTCGGCAAGCCTTGCCAGAACAGCTGTTCTTTCTGCTAACACTCTGCAAGACACAGAATACACCAACACATTTCCCTCTAGTTCAGAACTTCTCAAATACACTGTCTCACCCTGTTACCTGTGTGACACCTTTGGTCTGAAGAAAAAAAAGAGAAAAATCCATTCACATACCACTACAATACTGAACATAAAGAAGCAAGAAGTACATTGACTATACACAGCTCTACAGAAATCCAGAATTTGTCATACATCTTTCAATTCTACAGAAGATAAGCAATCTGTGCTGTCAAAAGTTCTTTTCCAAGATGATGTCAAGGACAGAATAAATCCCAAATATAGAATTAAAAAAAAAAAAAAAGATGGGGGGGGTGATTTGTCTTGTATGTCTACCATATTATGCCTGTAAACCTTATTAAGAAAATCTTGCTTCCTTAGTTTCCTCCTCCAAAGAGTGGCAAGAATATTCCTTCCTTCATCACTAAACAGTGTTTCAGTTACCTGTCTGCAAAAACAGATATAGAAGCAAGGAAGCTGGCAGATGATCAGAACTCATGACTCATGAGCAGAAAGAGATGATTTGTTTTATGACTAGATCAAAAAGATGGTATGAGTGTGCAAATGTGAATTTCCTCAGGCATGGGAAATAGATGAAGTTGCAATGCTGCATTGATAAAAATAAATTTAAGGACTTCTAGTCTGCTATAAGCAGGCCACAACTGAAAAGGAGGAGAGCCAAACCACATTCTTCTGAGAAACAGCATACATAATATTCAAACTTCACCGAGTAAGGCCTTTCAAAAAGACATTGTGGAATATACAAACTGTTTCAGAAGACAGAGGAGGCAGTTAAACACTGTTACACATCAGCGGGTAAAACCTTTACGTAAGGCCCTGTTGGGATAAAGCTTATTCTGCCCTTATGACATCAAGAATCCTAGCTTCACAAACACAAAACAGTACAAGTAGAGCCTATAGAAGATATGAGAGGTCACCAGTGCATTATTTATTCACCATCCTTGTTTTCCCCACTGTTTGCACAGTGCAATTATGACATACTAACCTGTCTGCTGTCGTTTTCTCTACAGCCCTGAAGTTTTATTAGTGAACCAGGAGCTCTGTCCACAACAGTAAGGCACAAATCCATGTGTTTCACTGACTTGTCCTTTGTTAAGGCCCATTCCTACAAAAAGGAAGAAACAAAAATGTACAAAATTGTGTATGTTAACACATGCTACCTCTGCCTATACAGCCCAACTTAAAATCCTGCAAATAGCTATGTACGGGCATTAGAACAGTTCATTGCTTCCCACAGAGCAGGAGATGAAAAGTCCACTTCAACCAGTAATTCCAATTGCTTCAGTGTCCCCACATCAGCTCAGGGCTGCGCTTGCTGTTTGCTCCCTCTGCTGGCTTTACACAGCCGCTGCGGGCAGTCACACAGGGCCCGCGGGAGATATTCCTCCAAATGCTTAGTCAGATGTTTATTTTTGTGTGTGTGTGTGTGTGTTTGTATTTCACCTTTCCCTTTCTTCTATGCGGAAGGACTTCTACATTTGTAAATATATATATATATAATTATATACATAAAATCCCTAAAAGCTTGGTCTGCAACACCACTGGCCACCCTGCCCACACACTGAACAAAGCACATGGACCACAGCAAGGAAACAGCAGTTCTTAATACAATAAAGACCACCAGAAAGCAGTACACAAAACGGATAGAGAGAATGTTCCCTCCCATCCAAGGCATGATGTACAACAGAATCTCTGCTAAATGTACTTAAATATGCAATTCTTAAACAGAGAGCAAAGAGAAGCTGTTCTCTGTGTACTGCTGCCCAGCTTGTTTGACCTCAGCATCTTTTCACACAGAGCCTGATCTTGCACTGATGTTCAGACTCTCTCCATATGCCTCTCTCATTTCAAGTTTGGTCTCCAGCATCCACACTGGTCTCCATTTGTGTAACTATCCTTTGAGGAAAGAAGCCACTTGATTAAAGCCAGGCTAATGATCCAAATCATGCTTATAAACTACTTAAAATGGCATGATTAGCTTCTCTCAAGCAACTTAAGAGGATTTGGAGTTGTATAATACAAAACCTTAGACATACAGGGCCAAGCCTGGATGTTAAATAACATTTAAATGTTATTTTGCATGTAATAAATATTTCAGAAATAAAATAAACATAATTACTTTGAAACTCAGCAGATTTAACAATTATTAAATCTCTTCGGGAAGAGATGCTCAGAACCCTGACAGAATTTCCAACCCAAAAGATTACAAGTAATCACAATCATACAGGTCCCAAGCCACTGGATCAATACTGTATTCTGCAAATGCCAGAATGATGACAACTGTGGAAAACAAAGCAAAGCCAGGACAAATCTGTGTATCCTTTTATTTGTCCTCCGAACTCTTTAGCTGATAACTTCTCCTTTTACTCTCAGCATGTTAAACTCAGAGGACAGCAAAATTACTTGCCTTCTCAGTTCTGTCCAGTTTGTAAGATGTCAACAAGAACCATTAATGTATAATAAAATATTAATAGCCACTTTTTTTAGCCTAAAGGAATGAAGCAAGTTCTTTTCAGAGCTTATCAGGAATTACAAATGGCCCCAAACTCTTCCCTGGCATTAAGATTTATAGCAGAAAATACTACCAGAGATGTAGCAAAACTTGCATCTGAGAACTCTGCAGTCAGAGTTAGAGCCTTGAAAACTACTGCGTTATACATCTTCACCCTTCCATCAAAAGGCTGTATGAGCCCCAGCCACAACAGAAATTATGCAAGAAGTTAACACTTTTAAAAGCCAAAGTACAGATGCTTCATGAAAGCTCCAAGCTCTGTTGCTGGAAACATCTACATTATGGCCTCCCATGTTACAAGACTCAGTGTATAGATACTTTCCTCCACAGATCAGTAACTATGACTGTAATGGAGATGAGATGGAACAAGTTCCACTACACCAGAGAAGAAAAATTGCAAGCAGTGTATATGCTCAGGGCACAGGCTGGAAATTGGATAGCTTTATGCAAAACTCAGAATATCTGAGAAAATCTGTGTCAAATCAGAAATTAAAAGTTAGTAAACAAACTAACCTGAAACCTTCCCCTTGAACTTAAGTGTATTTTATTTTACCTTTAGCTCTTTATCACAACCCTGCATATTTGCATATTGTCAAGCACGCCACAAGCTATTCAGCCCTCTGGAGGTACACAACTACCACTGAGTTCTACCAACCTGGAGGAGGGGGGAACAGGGGGGCAGAAATCCCATTTTTACTTAGGTTTTGCATTTTAAGTTGTGTTGAACATAGGACAGAGTACACTCTTCAAGCTATAGAACATTGCCACAGCCTATAATGCCCTTAACTCCCTGAAAAACCTCCTGATAAGAATAAGGTGCAAACACAAAGTACAGACCTAAAGACTGTGGTCTTTATCCCTCTCCTCCCATGCTGTTATTTCTTTTCAACCCAATACAAGTTCTACTTGGACATAAAACCTGGTTTTGACCCATTCTGCCTCTTAACCTGTCTGAATGTCCTCTCAAAGGTATTTGTTCAGAGCAAATGCATTGTGGTTTGTCAAGGTCGATACCACAGAAAAAACAACATAGAAAGAAGAGTGTCAGATTCAGGGGAAGGGAGTTTGGAAGAGAAAGATAACTGTGTGTCTACAAAGTATACACAACATCAGCAGAAAATTCTAAGATTTCTGCTCCAAGGCACTTGTGACACGTCTGCCCTTTCTCCCAAAAACCCCACTGTGGTTTCTGAAATGATGAGGGTACTTTCATAAAGGTAACGGGAAAAGCCTCCCCTGATAAATTCTCTTTAATGATAGGGAAAGGAGGCATTTCTCACATGTTGATTTGAATGAATTGCCATCATACATCTTCCAGGAAATTACTTCATTTTAGGTTTCATCTTATTTTAGGTTTTTCCCCTTCTAATTTAAATTAGAGCAAACTTCTGACACTCATTCAAGAGTATTTTTTAATTGGTCAGCCTTCCATTTTAACAGCTGTACTTGACACATTAATATTATATTTGATTTAAAGTCAGGTTTAATCTGACAAGGATTTAGCGACAAAGCAGCACACCAAGCAGTGAGAACCTCTGTGTGTATTTCATGAATGATAACTAAGTCACAACTGCATAAATAGATTCCTTGAAATAATTAATGCTCTCATTTAAAGATCTGACACATTTACAATTAGTTTAGGAGTAGGATTAGAAAGGATTTGTTAAAATACTCCCCCTTACTGTGAGTGAACATTTAGGCACTACTGTTTTCTAGAAGAGCCAAATGGGGATTTATGACAGATTTTTTTATACTCCACTACTGCAAACTGTAAACGACTAACAGTGCAATACAGCAAAGCATTCTTTTATTTTGGTGATCTTAGGCCATATGCTTAATGCAACCTAAATATTTTCTTAAGTAAAAATCACCCCCAAAAAATCAAACACACCATTTCATTGAAAAAATCTTTCTATGCAAGTACAAAACCCCTGGGAAGGAAGCTATGGCCTCTAGTGCAAAAGCACATACTAATAGTGCCAAAGCAAGAGGATAATGTGATGCTCACTGAATGAATCTCTGGGCTCAGATTCTAATCCTGAAAACGCAAAATTATATTTGAGGGATAAGCTTTTTAGTCCATCTGTAACAACTGATGTGCTGGTTCAGATTCATCTCTCTCTCATCAATACACAGTAACTGCTTGAGTTTAAAAGTTTAGCTTCACTTTCTTTCTTTTGTTTAAGACTTACTGTAGAAAGCAAAATTAATGGCATACAGACCTGGTTTCCCCCGGCATTATGACATTCATAAACTCCAACAACACCATCTGCAAAATGGCCCAAAGTGTCAAGGCAATTGGTACCCTGCTGCAAAGCCCCAAAGGCTATATCTTGATGATCAGGTACCCTAAAACAAAACCAGAAATATCTGCTTGATTCAGTTCAGGGTTTATTTGGCAGGTTTTTCTTATTTTTTTTTTAACTCCTTGTTTGTAAAAATACTCAGAGTATTTTTAAGATGAGAGGTTAAGGATGAGTGATGACTATCATCTGAAAATCTCAATCATCTTTTGAGGGGAGGCAATTATCTAATCATGAATTGATCAAGCATGAGTAAACTTGCAAGCTTACCACACACACAGTACCAGAAGACTTGTACCAGAGAAGGAGGGTGAACATAGAAACTTGGCACAAAAATCAAATTAAAGATTTATCATTTAAAGTGACTCAAAGCTTAATGTCATCAATTAGCTCATCAAGACCTTTTGTCTTTTCAGGCAACATAGCTTGTGGCAGAAATAGGACACTACCTGTTTCTTACACTGTTTTCACTGAAACGTTAAAAACGGGGTTAGGAATTTGGAAAAAAAAAAAATCAAAGTTTTTCTGATATCCATTTTCTAATGGTTGCACATAAAGTACACTCCTAGCATGGAAGCACCTAGGCAAGTCCATTCAGCACAGTACAGTTGTGGGTAGAGCCCATGAGTTCACATTGAACAGTAAAACAAGGGCATATCAGAGCCTTTAAGAACTTCAGACTATAATATGAGTATAATAATTCAACCCAGCAGAATGAGCACATGAGGGATGACAGAACAAGACAACACTACATGTAAGTAATGCTTATAAGCAGCACACTTTCCAGGAGAGACATTTTTTCTCACAGATTAAACAAAACCAAATATCCTCTGGCACTCTTAAGAGAAAATAAAGGAAAACTTACTTCCTCAGTATCATCCTGGTTTATGAGACTCATTAGTACGTATGGTTCTGCACATGTTGCACTGGGGCTGTAATAGCTGGTGCTGCTTTTGCATCTCAAGCCTGTATGTCACTAGCAGTTACCTAGCACCACTGACATGAGGTGGCTCCAGGAAAAAAACCTCAAGTATTCTTACATGATACACACAGTTATCTTGCACCACTACACCACCAGTATTAGGTTGACAGGCTAGTTAGTGGCCTCAGATCTGACCAACATACTTCTTAATGGATTATTTAACCAAAATCTTTCTATCCTTTCAAAAAGTATTTCTTTTCAAGGATTTCTCACTAGCTAGAATGTTCATGTTACAAAAACTGTTTGCAGTGTCATCCCTGACTTCCCCCTTCTCAGCCCTTCCCAGAAGTCAGTGATTATTCAGTGACAAGAAGGAAAAGGAGACTCAGCTTCTCAGAGCCTTAGACATCTACCCTTGTCTGCCAAACACACAAGGCCCTTTTGTCTCCTGAATGTCATCATTTGTACTGCAAGAAGGTTCAGTCTCCTCACTTAACTAGACATGGGCTTAGGCATAGGCAAAAGCTTTAACGGTATGACAACAGGACACAGAATATGTGCTTTTGAGCAAATGACTTCTGTAGGAGACTAGCTTCAGGCTCAGGTAAGTTCAGTCCTTTGGACACCGTTCTCAAATATTGCAGCTGTAGTTGCCACGAGTAGAAAAAGCAGCTAACTATGGAAAAATTACTTTTTAGGAACAGAACTAATAAAAAAAGCAAATAAACCTGAATGAGGCATTTCATTCACAGAAAAAGTAAAACACATCCTTCACATCCAAGGATGGAGGAAGAGAAACCAATTATTTCTGGGGAGGGCAAAAAAGAAAACTCCATATGAACTCTGTATCAGCCAAAACTCACCGTAACTCAGGATAAACATTTTCAAGATACCACTTAAAGGGTTTGCAGCTAAGTCTCTTTCTGAGCTCCATTCGGCTTTGAATACTAGAGAAGAAAAAAAGGAGTTTTCAGAGTCAGGCTGTTGTCTACATATATTTTATGGAATACATAGAAAACTCAAGAACAGTAGAACTGTAGGAATATATGTTAAAGAGACAACATCAGATTAAGTATCGTTTTCGCCTCGGAAGGTGCTATGTCATGAAGAATAAACAAATAGGGCAAAGAAGCACTTGTGACTTACTTGCCGTAAGGTACATTCCTGGCTGAAGGCACTGCTGCATAATAGAAATTTTTATACTCATCCATCCAGACTTCTGCTGCTCTGCGTGTATTTCTAGGGACAAGCATATGAAACACATGGGTTATATTTTCTCTAGGTGCAATTAAACCATGCAATTTTTCTTCAGATTGATTTTAATCCTTCCCAGTACTACACAGTCAGCGGCCTCAAGTCAGTCAGCAGACTCCTTATAAAAGACCCAAGTAATAGAAAACCATTAGAGTAAAATAACTGAAATCAATGCATTTATAATGAAATTTGTATCTTTTCCACACTCATCACTGCTTCAGGTTTTCATCCAGAATTTAACACACATCTTTCAGTTCTTTCCGCAAACTTCATGGAATTTATTAGGTTGATGTTTGGTTGATCTTTTTACAAGAGTGAGTTGACAGAAGGCAAATTCAGTGAGTGTTCACCTGGATAAAGGAAGCTAATTGAAAACAAAAACCTTAACAACTAGCAATATTTTAAAAATGTCTTTTACATTTTTAAAACAAATATGCTAACACAGGCAAGATATTTTCACTCTTCACCGTATTTCTACCAGTAAAGCATTCAAAGTTCCAAAAAGACACAAGCTGTCAAAATACTTTAGGCTATGAAACAAGTCTTCTGTAGCTGAGGTAAGAGGAAATGTTTTAAAATTTGAGAGAGATCGATTATTCTAATACATGTGGAAAAACCCCTAAGCCAAACATTTTACTTGTAATCAAACACATCTCTAACTAAAATTCCTGTATTTATATAATGGGTGTCTTCAAATTTCCTTTTGGATTGCTACATGGTCCAATGGCTTTTTCCCTCCCCTGGCTTACATGTAGAGCTCATTTACTTGTACTGTTCACAATTTTTCAATGCTTTGAAAAGTAAGTCTTATTTCACTTGCAACTGCCATGCTCTGAAGCTTATTTTACGTTTGGCAGAAAGTTCACCTAAAGCAACTGGAGTGAACTCAGTAAGCCAAAAACTTCTTTAATACGATTTTCCAATTCAAAAGGCAAAATGTAATCAGGATTAAGTGAGGAGGCTTGCAGGTTGCTGAGAAAAAAGGATGTGGAGAATAAAAATTTCACAAGACAGACCTGAATAATTTTTTTGTTTGAGGACTGATTTTTTTCTTGCAAAGATTCCTTTAATTTTTTGTAAGTAAAATCCTACTAGATTCAGATTAGAAGCTATGTGAATGTATCTTCACCTGCAGTCTCTCAGGCCTGTGTGTCAGTCACTCAGCCCCTCCTGTCTGCTCAGCAACCAGCTTGGCTGCCCACAGGCCAAATAGATTTTGGTGGTGAGAAAGGAACTACTTGGTTTGCCAGGGTTTAATGACTCCAAAGGCACTTTCAAGGCCAGAATGCCTGCCTGTATCCCTCTGGCCCATACTCATGGATGAAGAACATCTCGGGCTTTCTGTGACATGAATATGGGCACTGTGTGGATGCTGAGAACTGCCTGAACTGCTAAGGCCCCAAAGAACTCAGGGTGCTGAGGAACACAGTATGGGGTGCACTTAATGTTGAGCCAGTTAATGAAACAGAGCACTGACAGATCAGAGGCAGCTTTGCTTGTAGCAGACTGGGGCTTGCAAGGCTTGCTGGAGTGCTGTGTTAAGGCAGCTCTGGTCACACAAATCCTGCTGGCCACAAGCTGTCCCTGCCCACATCACACAGCCAGGACATGGTGATGTGGTCTCCCCTCCCACGAAACAGGGCTCCCAGTCTCTCACCCAAAATTACCAACCTGTCTGGGCTGCCAAAAGGCAGTGCATACTGACTAGCCAGCTAAAATAGAGGAGTCCAGAACAAGCTGCCTACAGCCAAGAGACAGACGATGGCATAAGCCAACGCGTCCCAACTGCACCACCAGCACAGATTCCATGCACCAAGCTTCTTGGCACCATGGTCCCACACACGTGTATTATAACACCTGTATTACAAGGATATCCTACTACCTAAGGTTTCTCATTCTCTCATTACTAGAATTGATTTTAAGGCATCCCATTATATTGGTTTGACATCCAAGAAAGCAATTTACAGCACAAGAAAAGCTGTATCTTGGCAACACCCCAAAGATGGAAAAGCTGCAGGAGTGGGAAAACTGTGCAGTATATTCATGCATTTATTTGCTTTTATTAACCATGCTCCTTGTTATGACACTGCCATTTCAAAACCTCATTAAACTACACCAGTTGCATCCTAAGCATACATAATGCAGTTGAAAAGGTAAAGCTTTCAACCCTCCTGATGCACACTATAAATGTTTGAACAGAGATGTGATGTACTGAGTACATTTCATTGCTAGCTTTTGTTTTCACATAAGTACTATTATTCATTTTTCACTGTAGCATAAAATATACATCTCTAAGAATGGGAAAAAAATACTAGAGTACTTACTATACTGAAAAAAACAGGACAGTGACTATTTTAGCAGATATTAAATTCATTAACGTCACCTTGGTGGCATAACCATCATGGAAGGGAAGAACTACACCCTAAGGAGATTCCTCAGTCTGAAGTGAATCATGAGTCCAAAAATATCAGCAGCTTAGTACATTCTTACGAATTTAAGTACAGCTGCACTCTGTGTTGCTTTGTGTTAAACAGAGTTTGGGCTCCATATCCCTTCAAGTGTAAATTAACAATTTTATTTCCAGCTCTTAGCCCACAGAACCTTTAGCCAAGACTTGCACTTCTCCAGCCCCCTGAGCATCAAGTTCAAGTCTCTAAACCAAAATCTACAGTGATTCTTCAGCTACAACTGATACAGCCTTGATCAAAATGCCCTCAGTACATTCATGCAATACTTTCATCTATATTAAGTCAAAACCACTTATGAACATGCTGTTCATAGCACTTTATAGAAGACAAACTGAGAAGACAGCTCAGTATTTCAGCTACTGCTATGCATGGGTACCAACAGGAAAATTAACAGGCATATTAATCTAAGCTTTTAAAACTGCAATTTCTTAGGTCTACAGAAAATGCACTTTTAAACATAGCATAGGAAAAGCAAATATTATAGAGAACCAAGCTGCCAACAGAGTGGCATAAATACTGAAATCAGTCTCTATAATCATTTGTGTCTCACATGCTGATCATGTATTAATGAAAAGCAAGCAAAGCATATTCATAACTTAGTGTATTCTGGCTTTTAGTGAACAATGAAACTGTTTCTACACAATGAAGTTTTATGACAGTTTTAAAAATAAAGCCTTCTTTAAAATCAAATATACAATATTAATGAAATGTCAAGATAAGCACTTCCTTATTTTCCAGATTTTCAGTCCGTGTCCACCAGAAGTTTCCCTCTTTCAGCTCACAGGTTCTTCTCTCAACCTACATCTCTGACTCAGTCATCAGTTTCTCTTTAATCAATATTTTACCATGATAGATAATATTGCAAATTTTTCTAAAGACGAGATCCCTAAAATGAAATTACTGCCACCTGCTGACCATCTGAGGAAATCCAAACCATTGCTATTCAGCACTCACCTTGCAAACACAGTACCACTCCCGCCAGGAAACGTGTAAGGATGCTGTTTGCGGAACACATGACCCACTCTGCTGCAAGGGATGATTTCTAGGCTCCCACCACATTGCCAAACTCTGAATGAGATCTCTGAAATAAAAACAGGAACAAAAGACCAACATCATAAAATACTGTTATCTTGTATTATATTTACAGAGAAGACTTTTAGTGATTGTTGTTGAGAAGATCAAGCAGGACAGTTTTTAAAATAAATTCTAGCATAAACAAAGACCTATCTAAGCAATTGTGATTCTGCAAGCTCAGCAGAAATAAACATACTATCTTGGAAGCAAAATGTGTATCTTCCCTTATCTGAAGTTACCAGTGTTGTCCAAATCCATAAATCCTGCTGCAATTTGCCAATGGGTTAGGTATATCTGCTTTATCTGAGCAGCAAACAATAGTAAGTACATTTAACAAATAAATCAATGACCTAGTTTATAACAAAAATTTTCAGCTGAAAATAGAATAACTGAAGATAAGTGAAATCAAGGCAAACTAAAATAACCAATAGATTTGAGCTGTTAACTTATTACAGCAGGTAAGCAAACACTCCCAAACAGTGGGAGGAATTATATCAAGTCAATGTTGACTTGAGGATAGACAAATAAAAACATAACTTCTGCAAATTAAAGGTTATGGACAGTACACCTCTAAGCCAAACTAATGATCTGAGCCAGCTAGTGATGACACAAAGGTCTAAAACTTTTCTCAACTTCTGATGGCAGAAGTCACCTGGAGAGATAACTTTTCCACATTAATTCCAAATCACTGCAATAAGAAGGGTGCTTCCAGCAGCACTATTTGAATTTTGATGATTCCCCCTTTAGTCCAATGGCTGCTACCAGATAACCTTAATTTCAAGCCTCTTCATAACCATTCAGTGTCTTTACATAGGTTAAAAAAAAAAAAAAAAAGAGGCAGCTCTAAATTACAGTCAGTGTCTATTTCTTATGACAAACTAAGTGGCATGCCTTCTTCCCTCAGAAGCCCCCCTCCTCATACATAGAAGTAATAATAGCAGAATTACTTGAAAAATTAAATATTAAAAAACCAGAACAAACATAAAACCCCACAACCACAAGTTAGAGAAGAAGTCATCTTCATTGTACATCCAGGGAAAATTTAGAAAAAATTAAAAGTAAATAAAAAGAGATGCTGTGATTTCAGCTGTTGACAGTGGAAGTCAACTGCCTTTCTTCTTGATGGCCATATTCATGAATCCTAGACAGTCAACACAGTTCAAGATATAGATAGATCATACTCCAAAAACATGAATGATAACATTGTCTTTGACAGTATTCATGTAAGACAACAGGCAAAACTAAGTTTTAATTTTTGTACACCTTCCAGCACCTTAGATTGTGAAGAATCTCAAAAAAAGTGAACATTATACAAAATAGCTCAGTGGGAAACAGAGCAAAGGACTAGAATATAGGAAGGAGCAAACTAATTATTTGCACCAACATGGCTTCTAAAGCCTGCATGGAAAAAAAAAATATACAGCAACTAAAACTCAAAACAATCCCACAAACGGCTTTAAGACATCTCTTTTGTTATACTCAAACAGCAGGAAATGTTACTACCAGAAGCAAGTTCAATGGACATAGTTTTTAAACAAAAAGGCATAAGCAGCACATCAAAAATTCTTTACGAGATCAAGTTACATTCCTGTAACAGATTTGTTCTTTTTTATTAGAGTGTGTCATCAATATAGAAGACAAGGAATGTCTTACTTATTCCCTGATTTTAGGAAAACTAGTAAGAAAAGCCTAGGTTTTCAAATTATACCCAAACCTTTTCATGGTCCACCAGTTCTCTGGTGTACTCCAATTCTCCTAAGCTTATCAGAAAGCATCATAAACATACTGAGAATTGAAGTTTCTGAGTTGGAGAAGAGATTGAACTAATCTCATTCCACTTTTTGTACAGCACACATGCATTACCAGTTACATTTAGGAGCAGGCTGAGAATGTACCTATCTTCATGGTAATTTGGGCAATTTAGAGAAAATACTGCAGGCTCATCTCAAAATTTGTCAAATTCATGCTGACATGTGAACAAAACCTCATAACAGCTGCTCTGTACATGCTTGAAGGAAAAAAATCTAGCTTTTATAAATGAATATGATGTGCAGAATTATTTTGCTAGTCCATTTAGCATTTATTTGCATGCAACACCAAGCCCCTGATGTAGAGCTATACTTGAGAGTAAAAAGGCCCAACAAGTATGCACATTGAATTTTAAACTGCACATCACAGATTTCCAGTTATCTGGTGCATGTGTCATTTATTGCCAATTAAATCATATGCCATGTGATTTTTACTCATCTTCAATTAGTCCGACAGCTAGGAAGAAACCATTAGCTGCCTTCTGCCTGCTTTTCAGGCACCCCTAAGTCTCCGTCTTTTTCTTCCCATGGAGGGGGAGGAACTGAATACAGCAGGAACAACAAACATCTCTTGGCATCCTTGAGAGAGGAGCTGTTGCTTGTGCCCTTTCCTGCTATCAAGGCTTCAATTACCAAAGCATAAAAGTAGTTGCTAAGTGTTCAGAAAAAAAATCAGTAGCTCAAGAACACACTTGTAACTAATCAAATATTTAAGTGCTTGAGTGGCAAAAGTGGTTTTCAAAGTGAAAAGAGTATTGCTGCATTAAATTTATCCAATCACTTTCCAGGACATTTAAAAAATTATTATGTTTGCATAAATATAATTTAGCAATACACAGCCAAAATAGCAAGACCACAGAAACATGCAATGTAACTGCTCAAAATACCCATAGGGTTTCTTTGAGTACTGCATAGGACGGTCAGAGACAGGACTGTAGGAACGCCACTTCCAACTTTTTAGTGTGTTACAGCAACATTAAACATTTGGTTACCATGTCTCCACACAGCAGACATTTCTTTGTAGGCCAAGCATATGCTTAATGCATATGCAGATTTCAGTAACTCAGAATACTCGTGGGTTTTTACAAGTTCAAGGTATTTCAGGATTTTGCAGCTAGCATGTGCAGTAGAGAAGCTTCTATGCTTAGAAGCATTCCTAAAACACACTATTTGGAATGTCTGAGATATATCTCTACCCCAAAAAACTAAATTAATTACTTGAGGCGGTGTAAAATTCCATTCCTTTCAAATATTTCTTGTTTTAAAACAAATGTACTGGCCTTAATTGGAAAAAACCTTTGTATAATGCAGTAATGCAAATAGCCAGAAAAACCTACTAATGCCAGATTGAACCACCAGGTCAAAGGAGAATGGCTAAAGCACAACTTCTCTCTGTGCATCCTCCCTCCTGCCTAAATCTCACTCATGTCAACATCTGAAAATAAGGACTTACAGAAAAAATGCCTTCTCAACCATTAGTATCTCACAGGGCTAAAGAAGGGGTATAAAACTACAAAATTCACTAAGTTTAGATGCCAGGCAGAATACTACTTGCAAAGTTCAGAAACAGATAATTCTTCAGTCAGCTAAGTTAAATTGATTTATTAAGGTGTATGTAATAACACTGAATTAATTCTCCTTCATTTCACTTTTCATTATTAAATTAAGCTACAGCTTAAAAACATGCCTTCAACTGTCAGCATTAAACATTTTTATATTTAATTGCCTATCTATAGCCTGCAATTTTTTACCAACCAACTTCCAAAAAAAGTCACTGCTCAATGAGCTAATAAATTATATGCTAAATATGAGGGAATAGAAGTTTTGTTTGTTCTAATTCTTTCATTGAAATAAACATTTTGGATTTTGCCAATAAAGTGTATGAAATTTAAATGCTGGTTTTTAACACTCTTTGCACAAAATCAGGAAAACCATGACTCCTTGAGAGTAAAGGAAATTATGAAACCTGCTTTCTTTCAAGGTTGATCAGATGGTAAATAATACACATACCTAGGTTTTCTCCACCCCAAACATCCATCATCATGTCATATTTCCCTAGTTCTTCAAAATAAGATTTGTCCATCACAAATAATCCACCAGCTATCATGGGTGTCCTAAAGAAACAAGAAAAATTAAATTAGTTACAGAACCATGAACATGGGGGTAACTATTATTTGTACATCAAGATTAATACCTTCTTGAAAAAACTGGCAGTGTTTTTGAATGCAACTTATTTTCTATCTATCACTTGAAATGTTGTCTCCACACGTTCCTGTGGCACATTTCTATGGCCATGACCACCTTCTGAGGCAGCTTCCAAATCTCCATTTGGCACACAAGTCACTTAAAGGATGGCAATTTGTGCCAGCAATAAAACATTAAAACTGATGCTGTATTTTTAGCCCTCTAAACACACCAACTTTAAACAGTGACATCTACTTTTTCTTAAGGGTAAACAATTAACCAATGTGTTTTAAACGATTTCTTAAATGCCATTTATTTCTGAGAATCTCATAATGCTCCATACACATGAATGAAATTTCAATATTGATGTAAGATATAGTGCAGATATTCTTTCAGATGCAAAGATGATGATTTCTAATTTTGCTTAATTGTAAACTATAATCTATTTGAGAAATGGTGGTATAGACATACTTTATGGGAGCAACTGGATTTCCTTGCCGTGCTCTTCTTTGCTCTGGTGTCATGTAATCCCACTTGAATACAAGATTCCAGTCAAAGCCTTCAAGAAGAAAAGTAGGATGTTAAAATTACTGTGGTCATCATTCAACTTGTAGTAACCATGTTCACTAAAAACACCAGGAACTGTAATTAAAATGAAAAATTTAAACTTGTGCAAAATTCTGGGTAGAAAACAAACAAGAAGGAGTCCAGATGAAAGGTAATGAAAAAAGAGTAAATCTCAACACCAAATAACTTCAGATCTCTTGTCTTCTTATCTATTTAACAACGTGGGAAACCCAAGTGGCTTCCTTACATTAAATAAAAAAGATCATATGATGATTTTCCGGCCATTACAAATGCTCCCAACAATCTTTACTGAATAACTGCATTTCCAGTCTTTAGCAGTGATCTCATGTTTACATTTACACAGGCTTTATACAGTACTTCTGGAGGTACTCTAACAACAAGAGCCCTCCATCATGAGGGTCACAACAAGTTATGTACATTCCACTTATCTTGTGAACATTCATTTAACTTTGTACTTTAAAAACATTGTGTTTTTAAATGCATCATTGTTTAAACCGGAGGCAAGTGCTAGAGCACCAAAATCTTACTTTCCTTATGCATATACATGTAAGTGTGAACACACAATAACAACCGGTCTGGGCCTGTCATGAGGTAAGCACAGAAGCACAAAGATCACTAGAAGAGACAAGATCAACAGGTCACCTAGCAGCTTTCTACATTAGAGCCATTAAATTACCTCTTTTAGGCAATGATACAGAGCTGGTATAGGACAAACTTCCTATAGGAAACACTTTTTTAACAGTTTTTGTGCTTGGTTATGCTCACAATCATGAACATCTATTAAAAAACTGCATAAGACCCATAGCCATCTCCCAGTACACCTAGCAAATCAGCCTTGTACACTCTGTCTGCTGCCAAACACATTTAGATCCTATGAGGTCATGTAATGAATGATTTCCAGATTTCTGGTGCACAGATGTCAATAGTTTTCATTCTCCAGTATAAAGATAAAGAAATTACTTTGTGGTGAAGTGGAGAAAAAAGCTAATGTAAACAGACAGCAATTACAGCCCTATAAACTGCCCGTCTGCATCCGTAAAGGTGTATAGCAATGACTGATGTAGCAAGTTAAGGACTCTGCAGTTTTCACTTTAACTCATGAGATACTTATTACACACAATACAGAAATTACCCTGCACAGTCTTTACAGCATGCATGGCAGCTCCTTCTCTCCACGTTTGTGTATTTCATGAAGCATTGCACTGTAAAAATGAAAGACTGTCAAACTACTCCAAAACTCCAAGTAGCGAAACTGAAAAATGGCTACAACCCACAGTACTGCAAAGCCTCCAGCAGGAAGAGTAAAATGAGTTCCAATAATTCCATGCAGTTAAAAAGCCACATTTCATCCTAGATAGCCAGCAAAATTACTTGCATCTGGGAAAAGCTGAAAAATGCACTGTCCTCCAGAAGCAGCAGCAGCGAGAGAGACAGTTACTGTATACTGCAGTGAACACAAGGGGTCTCTTTTGGAACACAGCACTCTCACAAACTGAACAAGTGTATAAAGTCTCTACCCATTCAAAACTGCCTTTCCGTCTCCATTTTCACAGGCTCTGGGAAAAATCTGCACTCAATGAGATAGTATCAGTAACTCTGTAAAAGGAGTATTTTTAAACACAGTGCATATCCAGTATGAAACTCTATCCAGTGTAAACTGCATCACAGGCATACTCTAAATTATTAGCTCTGAGTTAACTACAGCTTGTTCCAGGTGGTGCTTCTCAGGGTGGCATAAACAGTTTCAGAAACCACCCCCCCCTCAAAAAACAAAAAACACAACAAAAAAACAACCAAATAAAGAACCTCTAACATTAAATGCATGGGTTTAGTTTTGGCCAGATTTGGGAATTACTTTGGACTTGTCCACTTAGAAAACAAGGGTGTACCATTTGATAGGTTGCTTGTCTTGGGTGATTAAGTCCTTTCAAGACAGACCAGGCACAAATGCTGTCCCAGCTGTTTCAACTCTCCATGCTTCAGCCACACAGACACTGTACGTAAGGTTGAAAGCATAGTTCTGTTTCCATGTTTAGACTTGGCCCCGTGAAAGCTTCTGTGGTGCCAAATGCTGTAGTGCCTCTAACATGGCAATCTGTCTTTTGGGAACTGACAAGAAATATATTATTTATATTTCAACTGACCCTCAAATAGCTTGGCATGGCACACTAGTATGTGCAAAATTTCCATTAAGGTCAAAAAGAGACAGTTTCTCCGTCCTCAATCAGAAGTACGTAGGATTCATGCACCTTAAAAAATGAAAAACCCAATCTCTTATTGTGTACAAAAGGAAAAAATGAGTACTAAAAAATAATAGATAAATGAATGAATTGGATAACATAGATTCAAAGATAAAGCATGAAGGGCAGTAGTAAGTGAAATAATCTCTCAATCCTCTCCCACTTGGGAAGAATTTCACAATCTAAGGCTTCAAAGAAAGAATTCCTCCTCCTCCTCAGACAACAATAAAAGCTACACAATGGTACAGGGATTTCTGTAGTTAATAGTTAATGAATAGATTGGGTAAGGACCTTAAGGTTTAATAATGCTGGCACATACAATAACAGAGAACTATACAATAGCATACTGTGAATATATGCACCATAGGTGTAATTTCAAAACATTAATTAAAAGGATGTAGAACCTCTCACCTCCAGATCGCTGGTGAACTTGTAGCATAGGCAACATTATGCAAATAGTGCTTTTATTTTAGTTCACTGCAGCAACCTAGGTGACCAGGCAGAGACCAGAATCTAAAAGAATAGATTGGAAACTGGTTTTTCCTTCCTCACTCCAGAAAGTCCATTAAGAAAAAGATAGGACACTGTGAGAACAGCACTCTAATTTTTACATTGTGGCTCATTTTACAACTTTTATGCAGACAGTTCTGTTTCCAGGGTTGTGGGAACAATTATTTACACATAATAGTTAAAAAGGGGGGTAAGTGGGTAGAGAACAGCTATTTTAAATATTACATTCTTGTTAGCACTGAAAGAAGTTTTAAAGATCTGTAATAAATAAGGAGTTTAGCAAGTAGTTGCCCTCTCCCTCTTTGAGAAAGAAGATAATTTTTTTTATTTATTCTTCTTTAGGGCTTCAAAAGTCTTCTTGCTATTTGCTGTCAAAAGTTACACTACCTAGACATATTGAAATTGTAGCATCTCAGTTCAACAGGGGAATGGCAAAGGTATAAACTCTACAAATTTTCATGGTCACATGTGAGTGTTTTCACAGTTACAGATCATGGCTAACAAACATTTATTTATTTTAAACACATTCCAAAGCCTTCTGCTTATTCAGAAGAGTTTAATTTTTTAAGCAAACCAACATCTTGAAAAAAACCTCATAGACACTGCATTGTTGATGGGCTTCTGAACTAGTGAGCAATTAAAGCCTGTGTTATCTAAAAAGAGAACCATAAGCTCTAGCTATTAGCTTTTTCTGACACATTTACACAACCCTACAAACCTTGGAGCAAGTCTTGCATATTGGTAAAAGGCAGCATAAACTTATAAGAATTAGTATAATAAAGATGAACTTTTAAAGCAGAGAACAGTAAGGCCAATTAAAATCCAAGCCAAGAAGCAAGTGACCTATGGAACTTGAAACTAGATCTAGGAAAGGGAAGAACAGTATGTTAATTGCCCATTCCACAACTGCAGTGATTATGAACTTTGATTCTTGATGGGTTTTTTTAAAGTCTGTATTCCAGTACAGGTACATACCGCCTTTTAAATCAGCTGACGCCCCCACGTACTGGAAGTTGTCCATATTAATTACATCAATAATAGGAGACACAACTCTGGTCTTGTCCTAAAATAAATGTTAGAAAGTAATATTGAAATAATGAAATCAATATATAAAGATTCAGGCAGGATGTGATGTTGAACAGTTCAGCAGGATTTCGTTAGCATGTCTCCCCAGCTCTCCCCCTACTTCCAAAGAGCCTGTGCTGTGAATAGCACTGCTCAGCACTGCTTCAGAGAGCAGAAACCATAGGGTGTAACTGGAAATCCTCTTTCTATTCTAGGCTACTTTTATTCTGTAATCCCCCTTGTCTGACTTGCCCTTGAAGAAGGCAGCAAACCTGTGATTCTAAGGCAGTCAAACAAACAGCCCTTCCATTTTTACTTTTAAACCCAATGCAAAGAAAAGCATCCAGACAATTCACATTTTTCACAGCAAGTCTCCAGCCACGCAGTGGACTACTGTCTTATTATTGCAACCTTTAAGGGACATTTAGGCCTTTCTGCAATCAGAAAGGTCTTAGGTTAATGCCAATCCATTTCACTCTAGAAGAATCACACTTCAATAACAGATACTCAGATAGGAAAGAGAACCTAAAAAGCACCTCAAACTCATGGATACTCATGGATTAATCTCCAGCAGCCAAGATTCCAGTGGTACAGATAACCACAGTCCTCTATCCAACCATGGTCTCGTATACTATTCTGAGCAATGTTAATTATTTTAGCTGATGTTTTTGCCAAAATAGTTTAGGAACAAAAATCTTTCCAACAACTTCACAAGCATTATCCAACAGAATCACAAGACCTCAGTGTTCTAAAATAAGACTCATCTAATGTTAGAAATGCAGTATCATAGTTAAGCCAGTTTATCTCCATGACTTATTGCTTGAATTCAAAATTAAAGTTTGGAGCTGCACAATTTAACATCATTCAGAGAACAGATAACTTCACAACAGCATATAATCAAATATGTGAATATAAAAAAATGTTTTCAACAAACAGGAGATATTTTGGTTAACTCCTATTACAGAGAAACTGTTCTCATGGTTAAAAGAAATACAATCTAAACATCTCAATTTTAGGAATTTATTTTATAAGTATGTCTTGAAACAACACCACCTATATTCTAAACAGTGGTTCAAGCAACGTATCCCCCTTGCTAACCAGTATTACACAGAACAGACTGGAACCAAATTAGTATGAAAATAGCTTGAGGTCATAAGAAGAGACTTAAAAGCAACTTAGACAAATGCTTTGCTTGGTCCAATAAGAACCTTTAACACCCATTTTCTTTTTATTGAACCTTAACTACTCAATCTCTGCTGATTTTAAATAAGCCCCAATTACATAAATGGCATTTACTAGGTCATTCTGCCTGAGTGAGCAAAAGGTCATGAATTTCTGTATCATCCAAAAGAAGAATTCAAGCAAGTCCAAGAGAATTCAAGCTGAAGACTAAGTGAAAAGCTGAAGACACATTGCTTTTACCATTCCCTTTACTATCACTGCAGCTATGCCAACCAGGCCAAAAATTTGCTTTTATGAGAAATGTAATATAACATCTAATCTGGTCTCCTACTAAGAATTAATTAGTTTGGTCTAAAGCAAACTAGAAATACAAACAGAAAAAGGCCAGCCTGCCATATTCCCCCATGGATCACATATTTAGCTCCTGTTTCTGCGAGCGATAGCCTCAAGCCCATGTTTGCAATGGCAAGAAAGGCACAGTTTTGCTAACTGTGTTGTACTTGGGAGGCAATTACAATTTACTGCACCTTCACTGCAAAGTCCTCTGTGTGTGTCTACCTTCCTACATCACTGAAATGCCATGCCCTTATTTTAGGCATTCTATATACAGTGATAGAAGTAGGAAACTCCCTTAAATAAAGACTGATGAGACAGAAGATATCGACCTGTCCAGTTATTCACAGTATACCTACGAGCATAAAATACAAAAATGAAAACATCCTTCCTTTCTTTCTCATTTATTCCTTAGCTGAAATTGAGACAGCTCATACATCTATGCCCCTTACTAAAAGTATGTTTGAAGAAGATTTGGTTTTTTTCAAATGGTTCTACTTGGCCAGGTTGAACCTGGTGGTAAAGCTGCCCAAGTTATCAGGTGTCACATTAGGCAGAGCTTCATTTAGGCTTCAGCTTATCTCCACCAAGCTGCACAGGCAGGTAGCATGTTGTCTCTATACACCTGGGCTTTTACCGCTGGTCTGATTATTTCTATCAATATCAGTGCCACACCACACTAACACAACTTGCTATACCTAACATATTTAAACAACTCCCAGTTGCTTCTCTGACAGCCAAATACCCAGGCCATGTGCATCCAGTCCTGTGTATAACCCTCACATTGCTGGCTTGGAAATGTGCTGCCCTTCTGTGACTTGAAATTACAGGATTTGCTCAGTAGCAAAGCAGAAAAAAGCTTTATACATTCTTAAGGTGATGCTTTGCAGAGCATTAGAAAGTTGTTAATTCAGAGACTGCTAAAAGAGACCTTGTGGGTCTCCTAAGTAAAGAGTTCACTCATTTAAAAGACTAAAAAGCAGCTGGTCCCTTTAATCACAGCATGGATAAAATAGTACCTTGCTTTAGGATAATTTAACTTAGAAAATCTTTTGCCTTCTAATGGAAGGTGCAACTGGAAAGCCAGGTACTTCTTGGTGAATATAATGAAAAGAAATAGCCTGCAACACTGCAAGCCTCTAGCACCTGAAAATTTGTAGCAAACCACATTATCCTTACAATTTATAAGGAAGTCATGAATACTCTGGAGAATTAGACTTTATATATTGTTCTTATAAACCATGAGAAATTATCCTCAAGATTCTGCATTCATTGCTTCCCCCTTCTAAAAGTCTCAAGACACTTCAAACATTAAACTTCACAACACTCTTAAGAGAAAACAAAAATACTTTCCTTTTAGCATCAGTTAAAAGTGGACTTACTCAAAGTCAAAAAATCTAAGACAGACATGAAAAAGCAAACCACATCTCACTTCTTAATCTTAGTTATTTCTTCCTTTTAAGATCATCTCTGTTTTAAAATACCTTCTTAAATGTGACAGAGGATTTACTGCTATGCTATGGAAACAGATTAGTCCAGTTCTGCACCAGAATATTTCAATTTATTTTTCTCATATAATTGCTGAATTCTAAGAACAGAATGTCCAAGTGTTTAAAAATATGAAAAGGAAAAAGCCAAGATGAGTGCCCATGAAATTGCTAGTAGTTATAATGTTTTCAGGACTGTGTATATTATTACTACGCTGACATTTTTGAGGAATCAAAGGGTTAACCTCCACTGTCTCCTCATTTAATCGCACACACACACAAAAAAAAAACAAAAACAAACCAAACCAAACAACACCAACCCAAAAAAACCCAAAAACCGAGACGGCATAAAAGGTAGCCTTAAGAATCAAGCAGAAAACTACTCTCCAGGAAGGAGCAAAAGATACACCAGCTCTAGGTTACATGAGTATCTGTACACCTTCTGAATTCTAAAGCAGTCACCTTGTGTGTATGCTGCTTCTGCATTGAGCTTTTGCCAAAATTGCTGTAGAAAAGTCCCTAGCAGAATCAGACCCTCTCCAGAAATGCTAAGCAAACATGACTCCTGAAAAACAGGAAGATATTCTAACCAGGAAATCATCTTACAGAAGAAAACTGCAGGATGGATCATGCTTCAATTCAGGATGAAATCTTGATATCTCAGGTGCCAGAGGCAGAGCTTTTTAAAGTGGTTATAGCACATCAGATAGAGTACTGCAGAACTGACTTGATTCAGACTGTTTCTTGGAAGTTGTAAATTCTTATATTGTAAAACACACAACTAATCTCCTAAAACTCCAATAGAAATAAATACCAAGTGGGCAATTCTGGATCAGAAATAAAAAAGAAAAAGCCATACACAATAGACACAGGTGCCTATCAAAAAAAAATTATATTCATGAACAGGAGCCCTGACCTGAAAAAAATTACCAGTAAGGCCAGAGCAGAAAAGAGTTCACGTCTATTCAGCTTCTTGTCACTGAGACTATCAAAAAATGCTGCCAATTAACATCAACTAACATACACTGTCTGTCCTGTCCGCTGAATTAATCCATTTAAAATAACAACGAGCTATCATATACAATATATAAACACTAACCCAGCCTTAATTATTTGAACAACCAGAAAACTTAAAAGCTGCTTTTTCAATCCCCATAGCTGTTGGCTGGGAATCTTTGCAGATGACAGTTAAATGGAATTCTATATTCATTATTTATTTAACAGTACATCAATCTTTTAAGACCAGAAAAATATATTCATACAGCTGAAAACTATTCAGTGACACACAATTAGTGTGTACTATGGTGACAATTGGAAGCAGCGAGTTTTGAAGGATCTAATAATTCACATGCCACTAAAATGTAGCTGCTGCAAAAAGCAAAATATGCACCAGCGTCTCCAACCTAATACACCCCATTCAATGCTGGATCTTCACAAAATTGCTAGTAATTCAATAAGAGGTTTTATATTCTGTTACAATGAAAAGGTAACACTTTTTCAAATTCCATATCAGTTTCAGAAAGATAAATGAGTACGACCTGCAAAAAGTCATACAGAAGAGAAATGGGAAAATTACCAAATGCAGGGTTTTGCTGACCAAAACGATCACTGCTCTTCTCATTTCTTGAATAAATAGATGCTTCAAATGGTTTACACAAAAGGCCTGAAAACAGTTCCCATGTCCTAGAATTCATTAGTGCTTTAGCTGCAAGCATTCTCCACTTCTTTTAGAGATATATTTATGCCTTCAAGATTATTTTCCTAGTTAATAATTACAGAGAAATTCCCCCAATTCTTCTGAAGCTACAACACTTTAGAAGGGTAAAAAAAATAGGAGGAAGTGCTATGGTACCCATGCTCAAGGGCTGATTAGTTATTTCTACTCCAAAACAAGATTTCAACTGCTGATGTGTCTTGGGCAACTTGCAGTATTTCTGGAACACCCAGTAAATATAACAGGCTATGGCAAATTTTATGAGACTCAACAAGGCAAAGTGCCAGGTTCTGGACTCGGGTCACAATTTCATGCAATGCTACAGGATTGGGGATGCTGATTGACAGCAGCTGAACGTGACCCAGCATGTGCCCAGGTGGCCAAGAAGGTCAATGGCATCCTGGCCTGGATTAGCAACAGCGTGGCCAGCAGGATGAGGGCAGTGATCATCCTTTTGTATTCAGCACTGCTGGGGCCACACCCCAATCCTGTGTCCCATTCTGGGCTCCTCACTCCAAGATACTGAGGTGCTGGAGTGTGTCCAGAGAAGAGTAATGGGGAGCTATGAAGGGTCTGGAACACAAGCCTTTTGAGAAGGAGCTGAGGGTGTTTAGCCTGGAGAAAGGGTCTCAGTGGAAAGTTTATGACTCTGTACAACTACCTAACAGAAGGTTGCAGCAAAGTGAGGATCAGTCTCTTCTTAGAAGTAACAAGAATAGGAAAGAGGAAATAGCCTCAAGTTACATCACAGAGACTTGCATTGGGTATTAGGAAAAATTTCTTCACTGAAAGAGTGGTCAAGCATCAGAACAGACTGCCCAGGGAAGTGGAGGGGGTCACCATCCCTGGAGGTATTTATTTAAGAGATGTGTAGATGTGGCACTTCAGGGACATGGTTTAATAATGGGCTTGGCAGGTGCTTGGGTAACAGCTGGACTCAATGATCTTAAATGTAATTTCCAACCTATATGATTTTATGATACTAAAAGCATCACGGAACCAAACAGAATAAAGAAAATCAGTCATCAATTGATAGCTTCTTCATTGGCATACCGAGTATATGGGGTTTACTTCCTTCTTTCTCCCCCTTTCTGTTTTTGGGGAATGCAAAGGAAAGCATAAGGTGGGTAAGTGAAGAACTGGGCATTAACCAGAGTAGCTTAGCAAAACCATTTTGATCAGAAGCATTTTGGAACCAAACCTTTTCTGGAAGATTAGCTTTCCAGAAAGGGAATGCAATTAAGAAAGAATACAAGCCCTGTTGTCGTGAGTGTTTCTCAGTGCTTTTTTGGAATCATACTTCATTCAATTTCCACTTCAACTGAGTTCTTCCAGAGCAAGTTAACAAGTATAACCAACCCCTGGAGAAAACAGTATAGTTTCACTCTCAATCCTCTCAACTGCTTTTCCAGGACACAGACTAAGCATCATTTTCATAGATGCTGAGAGGTGTTGTGGTGCACCAGTTTAGTTGTTCTTTTGCACTGGGTGATTGGGAATTTGCACAGAATAGTTTTGTATTGCACTGTATAGCTCATGTTATATCACGTGGTTTGTTACCCCTTTTCCCCATCACATGGTCTTTCCCTCACCTATCCCGGTACCACCTGGGTTACCCCTCCCCTTGCCACTCCTCACTGGTGTCCCATTGGCTGTGGACCTCTCCCTCTGTCCCCATCCCAGGGGGTATAAAAGCTCCCTGCCACCAGGGAACGCCCTCTTTTCTCCCATGGGTTTGCCTGCCTGATGTGTGTCTTGGAATAAAGGACAATGTTTTCCATGTGGAGGAGAGTGCTTCTCTAATCTTTTACCTTCGTCTATGAAGTATCGTGGGCAAGGGTCTATAGCTAGCCAGAGTGGACCTCAACAGCCCAGGGAACTTGATTCTTCAGAGAGCCTCTAGTTCCTGCTAGTTTCCATGAGAATTTTGGTTTGACAAGTCATCCTCTCTATCATCACACTAAATTTTAATGAGGCATAAAGATTCAGGTAAACTGAATCACATCAAGATGATACTGGTAGAGGAGAATCATACTTTGCTCTAAAGATTTTCAGCTTACTGAGGCAGTCCCCAAAGAGCCAAGGAAACATATATTTGAAATACTTGCAAAGATAATAATAAATATTCAGATTTTATGTTCCTGTGTTCACAGATTAAATGAACAAAAATGTTTTAATCACAGAACACTCCAATCATCTCCATCATCTTAAATCAGGGAAAAAGCTTCCTTAGGAAAAAGAATAAAATTAATCTAGTATAAACCAGATGGCTTTAAAATTTAAAAGCTGCTTCTTCAGGAAATTACTTTACAACTCTTTACTAACCTCAGCTACTCTTTCCAAAAGCGGTTCCAGCCAGTGTTCATTGCACTCACAGTGACTATCCAGGAAGGTCAACACTTTGGCTTGTGCTGCATCTGCCCCTCTGACACGGGAGCGCATCAGGCCTGAGAAGTAAAGATAGAAAGTTTTAAGTACTTCCTGGGGAAAGCAATCAACAGCAGTGAGAAACTATTGCATTCTAAGTTAGCAGTCAGTTAAATTACTCAGACAGGCCAAATACACAAGCTCCATTATCAAAATCATATGCTCATTAAGAATTCAGTGAAATGACTTCACACCAAAGAGCCTGCAAGTGCCCAGCCTGCACTCTACAGGTTTCCATCTGATTTAAGCAGAAAAAGCAAAGTACCTTTTCAAAACAAGTGATACACGAACACAGACGGGTCTGTATTACCCTAACTGGTATTTACACCAATAAATCTTACCAAAGATTGGACCTGAAAACAAATATGTCTCCTGAAGTTCTACTATGCAACTAAGGAAAGCACCATAATTAATTCACCCTCCCCAGCTTTTTGCCACCCCCCATCTTAGTACTTACCAGAGTCTGTACACTCTTCTATGAACTTCTTCAAGAAATAACCATGCTTCATTGATTCCCATCTGAGAACCTTACCCCAACCCATTTGTCTTTCTTCTGTGACTACAGACATTCTCTTGTTTTGCAGTTTGTTTGGGGTTTGTCTGTTCTGAATATATATATTTCGGCAGAAACTTCTGGCAAAACCAAAGGGTTCTTCTCGTCTCTATGTCTCGGTTACATAGATACCCTCACTGATTTACCCTGCTCCTTTCCTTCCTTCTCTTGCTATTTGTTCATTGGATGACCTCACCAATCCTTAAAGTAAGTCCCTTGCTCTATATACATACACAGCAAGCTTCCTCCCATTCCTTTCCAAATTTCCTCCCTACTTTCTTGTCAAAAAATTACTATTCAAAAATTCATTGATTTCTTTTTGTCATGTGAGACCAAAGCCAAGCCTTGTTTTGGTTTTTTTCTTTTTCTTTCTTGATTGTTTCCCACTATATCTGTTCTGGTTTGTTTGGGCATTTTTCTCCCCCAAATGAAAAACTGTAAAAGAGTTGAGCCTGTTACTTACTCCTCCCTTTACAAAATAAATATGCAAAACATGACTATGCCAACAGAACACAAGATGCTTAAGAGGAAAAGCTTGTTTGCTCTGACCAACATTCAATAACAGCCCCATCAAGATTCTTTTCCTATCTCTTATTTCAAGTGTGAGCACAGTTCCAGGTACATGCTGTGCCATGGCTCTCCAACATTTTACATTTTATCTGTGGCACACTGACATCTAACTGTACCTCACTGACTTAGTGAGTGCCTCAATTTCAGCCTTTGAATCTGTTCTGTTCAGTTTTCCCACATCAAACCACTCCTCAAGCACTATTGCTACATTTTCTTCTTTTTTTTTTAACTTCTCAAATTCCTCCCCCCAGAGCTTATTATTTCTAAATAATATTATTGAAGAGCCGTCTTACTTTAATTCTATAGAAAACAGACAACAGTGTTTCTGATTTCAGAGTTTTAAAAAAATGGATGTGAGCACTTTGGTCATTGAGTGCTTTACAATCACATTCAGGCTTACGATGAATAGAGCTGAAAAGGTTCCACTGAACATTTATTCTGTGGACTATCACACCTTCAAACACATCTGTTCCCATAACAAACTCTGGTACTAGAGATGAGACTAATAGCTACTTATATTGATTTCTGAGAGAAAGGCAGTTAATGTCATGCCCTTCACTGACACCACCTCTTCACTTCAACTTTTGTTTTAAAACACACTGCTTTCCTCTATTGTTCATACTACTGGGCTACTCTTAGCACCCTACACATTGGTTAATTTCACCAATTCTCTTAAATTTTAATTTGTATGTGTAAAATTTAATCTTAATCTCACAAAGATACGAACTAATACCCTGTCTTCTATCTGCAAAAAGTTCTCTTCTGACATAGTAGAATTTGTCAAATTATATTTAATTTTCAGATACACTGATGCACATTCCTAAGCATGTATTTGTATATGCATTGCAAATTAATATTTAAAATTACTAAAAGAAACAAAGATCAGAAATGTATTACTTCATTCTGATTTTTCCCTTACTGCTATCCATCTTCAAGTGATACACTGAAAAATGACATTAACTTACTCAGAACCTGGCAACCACAGCAAGTCATAAAAGACCTGCTCTCCTAATAACCTTTTTTTTTCACAAATATATTCCAAAGAGAATATTTAAACACTAAGAACCTATCAGTTATTGCACTAACTTTAATTATGGGACAACACATGTTTTGTGCATGTCTTTTCCGGTTCCTGACAATCTAATAATTCCAGCTCTTCCACAGGCCAGGCCAGCAGTCTTGAAGATATAGCTTATAAAAATTAGCAAGCACATATGTGCTAATTCAGTTAGCTATTTCAACTGTCAAATCTCAGTTATTATTTCAAACAGCTGTAGATAACAGTTACCTGTATCTAATACTTTAAACTCCATGGTCAGTGAGCTGCTGACTGAAGGGCTCAGTGATGTGACACCACAATTTACAAAGCAACGTAGAAGAAAACACAAATGTAAGACAAATTTGTTACAGGGCACACTGGCTTCAGCAAAGCCAGCATACTTGGTCCCAGCCCTCCTGGCTGCTCAAACCCGTAAATTGTTTGTTTGGCTGTCCATCAACTCAATCATAAAATGATATCTAATAAGGGAACCAGCAAAAAAAGAGGGCTATTTTTAAGGTGCATCATTTCAAACACAGATATATTTTACAGTGAGACATTGCATACTATGGAAGCAGCTTAACTAAGGATTCAGTGCAGGAAGAGAAAGGAAAGGTTGAAGATTTAATGCAATTCCTGAAGGAAGATCACACTGTAAAAGCCAACAATGGGCAATTGTGCACAGAATAATACGGAAATAATCACAATTACTGTTTTTATCTGCACAATTACGTTTTTTTATTCCTTCTACTAGTAGATTTATAGAGTGAAGATCTCTCTTTCAAGAAGGAAAGTAAAGCAGAATGTTCCATTAAAAGACTCAATGAAAACTAACAGACAAGGCAGCACAGTGAAATTTGTATCTTACTTCCTTAAAATTAAGCCTACCTTCTCGCCGATCGTTTCGAAGAACCCGTACTTTTTCAATTTTTCCCAAGAGAGCCCCATCATCAGCTTCAAAAAAACAATGATAAATTTAAGAATTTAAAAAATAAATAAAAATATATCAAGTGATGAGAACCAGTTTTGCGTTCAATACTGTATACCAGAAGAGAGGCCATCATCAAAGAAAACAAAAGCTTTGTAGGTGAAAATGTTTGTGGTCATAATTAGATACTCATCTTACAAGAAATAAAGAAAAATTACCAGGCTAAGAGATTATTACCTTCACCATGTTACTTAAAGCTAGCTTAATTTTACCATCTTGATATAGTTTTATTTAACTATTTTCTCTTTGCTTACTTTAGACAGTTTCTGCATTGCATAGAGACAAAAAGCTTCCAAAATATTAAATAACCTGCTTTCTTTACCTATAAGAAATCTCACTTTCTAACCAACATTAAGACAAACCTGACCTAAGCTAGTATTAGTAAAAGTATTAATGCAAATATATACCTTAGCTGCTTCTAAGAAATATTATTCTGAGGTCCATTTCAATTGTTTAAACTTCTATCATGATACACTAGTACCTACAAGACATTGACTTATTTTAGATTCAGTAAGATTTTTTATGAGAGACTGATGGAGATATTCATTTAAAACAACACTACAAAAACATTTGTTGCAAGCACCATGGGTTTTATTTTTATTTAAGATAACATACTATGAAAAGGCTCTTTTTAAAGATAGACTCATTTCCTGTTAGCTGAAGGACAAGATATACTGGAAATATTTGTAGAGACTTCACATTTCCACAATGACAGATATGGAAGAGTTAAGACCTGGTTTTGGCCAAGTCTCTAAAAACTCCTATTCATGTGTTCTATTCTCAACTGAGTCACCTATCAGCATCAGGAATCTTACCAAAATAAGCACAGTAAGGTAGGATCCCATAAAAGTACTTACGATCATTACTGTAGTCATCCACTAGTATGATTTCCTTAATAAGATGTGATGGACTTTTTTTAAGGACACTGAAATGGACCAAAAACAAAAAATCGTTCCAGCAGTGTTAATTTTCCGTAATAATGTCAAGAAAAGCAGTTACTTAGTTAAGCTGCAGTAGAACCTAGCCCAGGATGTTACTTTCAACAACAGCTGTTGGCCTGTTCTTACAAAAAGCATAAAAAGAGGCACATGTGTAATTTTTTGTGTTCCTTCTTCCCTGACTCTCTACCTCCCCCACCCCCACTATTCCAGGCCCAGAAATCAGGGCATTAGACAATGTCCAACATGGAACTTTTCCAGATATCTTTGAGTCAAATATCACCTGGGAATCCATCTACCCTGACTTTTTCTTGGAACAGCCAGCCTGATAATCAGTCCCATACTTTCATGCATTTTAGTTAAGGTGATCAATTTTGTTTAAGATCGCTATTTCAGGATGTAAGAACTGAAGATCTCAATGAAATTAAAACTTATCTTTTCCTCTGCAAGTAGTTCAGAATAGTTCAATAATGGGTTGCTACTTCTCTTTCTTATCACAAGCTGACAAGAAATTAATGGCCTTAAAGAAAAATTAGGCTCTCTTATGCATACCTGACAACAGTTCGAAGCAAAGCAGATCTTGCCTCGTTGTGAAAGGTGATCACCACACTAGTGGCTGGCAAATCTATCCGCCACTGTTTCCGTTGGCACCTGAAAGAAATATAACCTTGTCATTTCAACCTAACTTTTACATCCCAGGCTTGGGAGACTGCCTTCATTGCAAAGCATTATCTATTAAACTCATAGACACGCTGCCCAAGAAGAATGAAATAGCTTGTTTTCAAGTGAAATTATAATCAACCTTTTGACACTTTTGGCTGTTTTAGTACATGAAAGCCTAAAAAGTCAGCGGCAGATATGGGCAGGTTCAGACAAGTCAACAGACCATCCTCATTGCACTATGTCAAATGTCTTTTGTCCAGCTGAGTATGAAACCAGAGCCCTTCTTTTACACTAAAAGCATTCAATACATCCAAGGAAATAAGTGTATTTTCAACAAAAATGCACAGGTTCACAGGCTACCACATGTTTCTTCTTTAGAATGGCATGCGTCCGCTTCTCCCTACATTTTTAAAGCTCCTGTATCATCCTGGCCTTACCCATAGATAAAACTAGTTTTCTATTCTAATAAGAACTTTTAAGGATCATAATATTCAGAATTTGGAAAACAGAGCTAGCTGCGACAATGCTGAGCCAACTAAACACAGCACCATATCCTTCCAAACCATAAAGATAATAAATATTCCATCTATGTCAACTAATTTTTCATCACCTCTAGAAACCTGAAATTAATATAAGCAAAAATAAGCAAATGCCAAAATGATTCCTTCAGGACTACATACAGTTAAACTATTTAATCTGATAAAATAAATCTAAAAAAGATACTATGCTCATTGTATTAGAAACTAACAGTTCTAGAAAACAATGTATATTGAATTTTTGCCAAAAGCATTACAATGTGACAAATCATGATACTGATTACCATTTGTGCAGTGACACACACCAGAGATGTATTTCTTCCATGTCCTTTAATTAAGGGTAGAGTTTTAACAGCCCTAGCTGACTTCAGAAAGAATAAACCCAACTAGCATACACCTGTAGCAAATTCAGCAATTCATTTCAGTATTTATTTCAGTAATTCAGTGCAGTATTAATCAGACCAGTTTTTAAGAGAAGTTTACCACCCACTAAAACTAGGCTTCTGCCTGTATAAAAGCCCACTCCACACCCAATTAACATCGGCAACATGCATTGTAAACAATGCAACCTCCAACTTCTTGGAATCAGAGAGCAAGCAGTAATGTGCTTCTTCCCCTGGCCCTCCCAACAACCGTGGTATTTTTGATACTACACAACCATAGTGTGACACACGTTAGCCTGCATGAAACAAAACATTCTCATGCTGCAGTGACCTCACTTGGCTCCGAACAAAAACAGAGTCTACGCCAAGCCTGCAACTGCTGTGTCAGATTAGCAGGGCTGTCTCTGGCTTTGTGGTGGGCATACAAGATGGCTTTGTCACTAGTGCCCAGCGTGGAACAAATAAATCTCAAATGCCTGTGTTCCTGAAAAATAAAGAGCAGCTCCTCTAGTGTGAGCTTCTGGCAAGTCATCTAGACAGCTAAAAGATGTGCAATTATTACACTCTAAGGTCTGCTGTGCCAAAGAAATTATTCTTTATCCTGCTAGCTTTCAAATTACCCAGAGAGGACAGAGCTACTGTGCACGCAGTTATCACACAAAGCACTTGCATTAGAATAATTAAAAAGTCACATTAAACTTATATTGATCTCTTCGCAGAAGAGAGCACTTGAGCCAGATCACATATTAGGGGGAATTACTCAAGGCAATGAAGCTTCTCAATTTTAAGAAAACTCAAGAGAAGAACACTGCTTTGTATTTCTGAGGGAGAAATAAGACTTCTAGACTTCCAAATAAAACTGGAGGAATGTTTCACCAAGTATCACTATTTTCAGCACTTCATAAATCCCTGCTTTAACTGACTCAGTATCAGTCTTCCTCCTACTCTGCTGTGTCAACAGGGCCACAGTTAAAATTCCAACCAAAGAAATAATGTCATTATTTTTGGCACAAAGATTAAAGTTTGTCTCCTCAAGCTGCAGCACTTCAATTTTACATGCAGAGTAAGAAAATATATTTAGTTAAGATTAACTAAATAGTTAAGATAGAACTTGAACTGAAAATTTCTATCAAGACCTTCAATGTTTAACATAGGTCAGTAAAATCAGTTAAAACTTGAAAAGTACATTCCTTCCCCCAGAGATTTTGACTGGTTCATTTAATTAACAATTTTTCCCCAAAACCTCTGTGATTTGTTTGAAAACACTTTTTGACAGAAATACGCATTTTAACCAGCACAAGGAGAACATTCACTTCAACTGGTACTAAAGACACAGGAAAGTTTGTTTCTTCTCTACTTAACAATAAAACTTGAGTGTGAGGACAGAAGCTTCTAATAGCCAAATGACTAAGAAAACCGTTTAGTGCAGCTATAGTACTTGACAGTAATTCCTAAAAATCATCACAACACAAATTAGAATATGTGATCAGAACAGAAATCACTAGTCCAAAGCATACATGGGGAACATTGGTCCACAAAAACCATGGAGTATTTAATCCTTTATCCCACTTGGGAAACTATTTTACACTGACAGAGGACACCTCTACGAGTTTCCTATTACAACTGCAACAACCACTTCAACAACCACTTGTCACTTTCTGCATCTCCAAAATCTACCATGAAACAAAAGAAAACACAGAGGTTTTCTAGAGTTGTTGATAGTGGTGTTTGTGAGCATCAGCTGGAGTGAGAATCCATGTTTCTGCTCAGAGTTCTGTCCACTTCCTTTCTTACCTTGTATCTTCCTATTTCCCCCTTCTTCCTTTTGCTTAGAACAAAGGCAAGCAGCTAAAATGAGCGAACCAAAAGTATCTTCTGGTACTGCTAGCAGGCTTTCACAAAAAGCACGAGGAAAACTTTTGTCTTCCTGCTAGTAAAAGTTTGCATGATGTAAAAAAAAAGACTTAATACAGTATTAAAAGATGCATAGTTACATTCACATCTACACACGTAAAGCAGAATCCTGATAAACTGCTTCTAAACAGCCTAGAAAATTTCAGCAATTAAAAAATTCTGGCATGTAATTTTTTTTTTTAAGTCAATGAGCCGCTTGGACACACCAACACAATTAATAACAAGTTACTTAAGTCAAAACAAAGTATTTTCTCACCCAGGTTTCTTTCCCTAAAGAAGACTGCAATAGCTCCACAAGAGATCTTAATCTCAACCCAGTTGCCTTCAATTTTACTAGAAATTAACATGCTTCAAAGTGTGTCATACTCAGATATTCTTCTTCCTATGGCTATTGCTTTTGTTCTTTCCATTGCACATTTCCCAAAAAAATATTTAATGCAGCTTTTTCAGCTTTTGCAGTGAAAGTTCTTCCCAACATAGAACGAAAATGAAATGCAACGCAGCAGGGAACTCATTAAGAACAGCTTGTAAGAATGATTGCTTCAGTTTGCTTTTCCGTTTGGTTCATTTTTTCTTTAAAAGATGACTAGTCACAGACTGATAGGCACTTAAATCTGCTCCATGGCACAGTCTAAGTAATAACCCCAGCTCAGATATAGCCTTTCCCCAGTAACATCTCTCTTCTCTCTGGGTTCTTTTTCAGCTCTGTTTAGTGGAAACACTTAAGCAAGCCAGCATATACTAACAAGACTAACAGTTAAAAGAAACATCACCATTGTAATGTAATTTATCTCCATACATCCCTCTTATTTAAATTATTCTCAAAGGACAGCCTTTGTCTTTAGAGACATGGCCCCCCTCCCTCCCCAAGGTTTTCAGGTATCTAAAAAATTCCAAATTCAGCATATCTGAATCATAAAAACTTCTAAAAGTTGGTAGTTGAGTTTGAACTCTTGGACAAGAATACCTGATCTAAAAAGTCAGAATACGTTTCTGGTGGGAAAAAAAGCAATATGCTATGAAGAAAACTCAAAAGTAATTTTAAACTCCTCAGTACAATACCATGGGCATCGTGCTTTTCCCTGCTTTCTTGGCAACAGGAGAAACACCAGATTCTTCCTACTTGAACATGCAATTAACAACAAATTACTTGATTTATTCCATCTACAAATACTTTGCGTGAGGAAACCTAAACCCACACTATTATACAAGGGATTTCAAAAATTACTGAGTTTCTATACAAATTTTCTTCACTAGGCCATTTCTGATTAAAGAGCTTTATGGGAGAAAACAGGAACCTTCCTGTTCTCTTTCCTCTTCTGGGGTCTTTTTCAGCTTCTTCTACTTACGAATCTGTGAATATACATTCATCCTAACTGTAGAATTAATTAGGCAAATGAACGACATACAGTTGGCTAATTGTATGTTTCAAGACTGGCTTGCCTAGTTTTTAAAACCAAACCAGGTTTTGTATTTTCAACTTATGAAGTCCTAAAAAGCAAATTTTTTTTAAACATGACTCATGCAAGTTATTAAATCCTTTTTAAAATGAAGGTGTTCTCTAACCAACAGTAAATAATATCTTTCCTTACTGTGAAGGGTACTGTTTCCTGAAACTGCACAAGCAGCCTGAGGTATATTTCTGTGTTTACCAGGGTGTGAATAAATTGGTTCCTTTAGGTTTAGAGTTGACAATCATCACATGCAAACACAATCACAGAGTGACCAAGATCCAAAGTGGCTACAGCAGGCTCTGCACTGGGCTTTGAATATCCCTAAGCCTGGAGACTTCACACCCTCTCTGGGCAACCTGCTCCACTGTTTGATCATCCTCACTGTGAAAAACTTACAAACAGAAACCAAGAAAAGCCACCAGATAAACAGGAACAAAGAAAGACTGAAATGCAACACTAGTTTGGATATATAATACACACTGATGGAAGTCCTGGAAACAGAAAAACTTGAATAAGATTTATTGTTCTTTAACCCACTGTTCAAGGATCAGGGAGTTTACTGTTACTGTCCCTTCTAAAGCTGGAAACTTCTGCTTCAGAAAAAGCAGCTCAAAAGCAATAAATACAGAAAGGCTAATCCAAGCCAACACGGCTCAGTTTGGCACTTACTGATCATGCCTAGTGTCAGGAATGCTCCGGTCCATTCGCAGTTTGTCGCTTTCCACCTGATTGAACTTATTCCGTGCGTACGGATCCTGGCCAGATCGCACCACGGTAGCACCAACATAGGAGTCCTGATCAAAGTCTTGCCACCAAACTTTTCCTACAGTAGAAAAACAGGGAAACATTCAGTTTAATATCCATGATTTAAGGAACAACATTCAGTAATCCAAACACAACTGATGAAATATTTAATTAAGTAATTCAACTTCAACAGTACCGTTAACAGTGTAACATCAAAACTCACTTCTGCCTATTAAATTTGTCTAGACTAGCCTGCAAAATAGTATCAAACTTTTAAAACAATGCAAAGAATCTGCAGAAATATGAATACCAAGCTTCACTGCCACAAGGATTCAGAAGTTTGCCTATATTAACTGAAAATAAAGAAAATAATGATTTAAGGGTGTATAGTTCTGTCTGTGACACCTTTGATGTTTGATTCCAGACTCTAATACTACCTTGCAGTAGCAACTCTCCTGTCTGTTACACCAGGCCATAAGAGACTACTAATCAACATATGAAATGAAAAACCCATGACCTGCTCTACCTCACACTTAATCTTACTTCTAGTTTCAACCCTTCCAGCTTCTGATAGCTCAACCTGTGACACTTCCCACTTCCCTTTAATATTCAAGCAGAATACTTAAGACCACTGGGAAAGTTTGGTCCAGAATACACAAACATTCAAAAAAAGGGAAATAAGAACTGCTGGAAGGTGCAAAATTGGCTGATCTAACACCACAAACAAAATTTGTAGACAGGTCTATTAGGCAGAACAAATAACTGAAAATATCTGCCAGAAACCAACTTAAATAAGTCAAGCTCTTCAACTTTTGGGGTTTTATTTCTCAATACATACACAAAGTAAAGGCATTGCTAAAAAGGTATACATAGATAACTAGTCTTCTTTCCCTTCTCCAAACAGTAGCTAAGTTAAGGCAGGCCAAAGGATACAGAAAAAAGGCATCAAGAGCAAAGAGCTTATACTGTACCTGGAGAGCCTGTGACTGAAAAAGAAAAATTCTACCTCACGTGTTCCTGGGGGTGAAAGTTCCCAGCTGTTATGAGTAGAAAAGTTGTCCATTTTTTTTAAGTTGCAGAGTTAACAAGTTAAACCAATTGCTGTTAATAACTTCATGTTATAATCACCTGTTATTAATAGTTTTTCTTCAGTAACCTGTTAATGCTTAGAGATCAGCTCAATTGTCCCCCTGCTGCTTCAGGAGGAATGACACCTGAAGCTGCAGGTAGCTGGGGTGGGGGGGGAGGGAGGGGGAGGGGGGAAGGTGACGTCAGAGCTAGTATGCAAATGAGGAAGCCCCTCACCAAATCTTGGAAGAAAAACCCCTACAACAACGTGCCAACACAGAATTAAGAGATCTAAGTGATGTCTAAAGGTGAGGAACTTAATCCTGTGTCTGCTAAGATCCTTTTTACCTCTCATCCTAACTTAAAGGAAGTTGACTAGAAAGAGGACCTCGAATGTCAGACTGAAAGACTGAAAAGCTGGAATCTCCTACTGCTTCTCGTGAGGATGGAAGCCCCAGCTCTGCCTGCATACCAGCGGACATAGCTGCATCATCCTTCTCCTCCCTGCCACTCCTGGAAGCAGTGGCGGCGTGGGCGCGACCCATTTCTCCCTACCTGAGCTGATTTTTTTAATAAAGGCATTAAAAAGGAGAAAGATCCTATTTATTTCACCAGATGCTTAGAAGAAAGTTTGCCTTGGTTAGTTCTTTCTGCAAGAACTCATAGTATTTCAAATGTTTGGCCAAGACATATTTGTAAGCAAAATGTGAGGATTCATAGAAGAGAAGCAAAACCTGTGATGCTACCTCATCAGTAGCTGTCCTTGTCACAGGTTAAACTTTTTCAATTGTGTAAAATATTCCAATTACATTTTCGTTTTTCTGTATGCTTTAGTATGTCAATTGTAGCGATATATGAAATCTCTTTGACGTGAAACAGTTAAGCAGCAAAAGAAGTTTATAGAAGCATTCACATGAAATGAAGATTCCTTAACACTTAATTTTCCTAACTCATTCTGAAGGCATGAGGATTTCACTCAAACAGAATAAAAATCACATTGCTCTGTTATTTTCCAGCATACAAATACTGAGCAAGCATGAGGAAAAAATAAAGTACACCAGCAGCACAGTTAGGAAAATCTGCCAAATCAAAAGCTAGGAAAAAAACTAAAAAATATGAACCTTGGCTGAATCTTCAGTCAAAATAACAGTCCCAAGGTGACTTGTCTGTTGCCTGCCAGCATCATCCACCAAAAGAAATGGACTACTTTTGTACCAGAGGCTTTTACATAATCTCAAACCTATTGAAGGACAACACAAACGTACTAGCAAAGAACCACTCTCCCTATTGTTTTATCTCAAAGGAGCAGTGAAGCAGGTAAGATTTAAGGATGCTGAAGCTATAAGCACAGAGAAGTACATGGTGCTAAAATAATTCTAGCACTTTCAAACAAAGAATTATTAGAATCAGAACAACTGCAGTGTTTTATGACTTTCACTGATAAATGTTTTATGGCTATGGATCTTTCATAACAAATCTTACTGCAGTACCTGGAGGCAGTGTCTCCACACTTTGTGCCTTGTCTTCCACATCATTGCCACGCACTTCTTTCCTTTTGGGGTCGATATCATTTGGGTCCTCCTGAAAAAAAGTACATAATCTTTAAAATAATCTTAATTTAGTTTTGTGTCTTCAAAGTAAACTCGTTTTTCCAGATTTTAAACTTAGAGCATTGCAAGAAAATGAGGATTTTAAGAGAAACAATGATTATTCTCTCCATTCCTTGAAAAACACAACAAAAATTGAGTCAGACTTTTGCAGTTAATTTATGTAAAAATTCTTCTTTGGAAAAAAAAGGAAATCTATTAGGAAAGATGGAATTCTTTTAACCAGTTATGTTCAAAGGAACTACATGGGCAAAAAGGTTAAGCAAGACCTGAAGAAAGCCCTGCTCTAACAAGGGACAGCCTAAAGAGAAATTTATTTGAAAAGAGAGATCATGTTATCTAGCAATTATATCCAGAATGGTAGCCTTACTATTGGAAAAATACTTCCAAAATATTTTCATGTGTTAATATCATTGGAATTTATGCTGGGCTTCACATGCAACTCTGCTGGATTTGTGATTGCAGAGATATTGATGATTTAGATGGGTGGGGGGCAAATAGTTTCACCAACACCCTCCTCCAATTTCCAGCATTTATTCTGAACCTATAAAACTCATTTTGATTTCAACAGGGAAAGAAAAAAAAATCCCTGACCACCACACTTTTGCATTCTTATCAGCACAAAAATACAAATATGAAGCTGGAATTACCCCATTAAGCATTTGGAAATGGAGAAGAGGCTAACTTTAAAACATAAAAACTAGCAACTGCATGGACTGTATGCCAGTTTGCACACTACACTTAGCCAATTGATTTAAGTGCCATCAGCTTCTGTTGTTCTTGCACACTTGCCAAAAGAAATTCCATTTCCTTTTCTAAATCTGCACCAAAAGAGTCCCATCTATAAAACCAGTTATATTGGCAGTATCCTGAGAAAGACAAGACCTTTACTACAGCATGCAAGAAGATACAACACTATGCCTATACTAATCACTGAGTGCACTGAAGCCAAGCAGTGCAGAACAATTCTCATCTCTTACAGAAATCTGCCAGAGTCTCCAGAGCAGGGTGATGGTGTATGAAGTACAGACTGGAAAATATCTCTGCTGTCCCAGCTCCTAAGCCACATCTGGAGAATTCTTTGATGGAATAGTAAGTAGTTGGAGTTAAAGGCCTAAGTTATGCTGGGGAACATTTCAACCACAAACGACACCATTTCAGCTTGTCCCCAGGCATCTCAGAACCCTCCAATGTAAATTCAGCTTAAGTCTTTAAGTGCTAAGTTGGCAACAATATTTAGAAATATGTTGAAAAAAGCATAATATTTCTGAAATACTGAAATTAAAAACTAAATACAGACTCTTCCCCCCTGCCCCCAAGAAATACAGCTAAATCGGTTAAAAATTGAGTACTGCTATATATATATATATATATGCATGCTTTTCATAGCATCATGCATCAAGAAGAGATGCATGAGAGAAGAAGAGAAGGAATTTTAACAGGTTCTTATACTACATTACTACATATCCTCATTTTGGTACATCCTTTGGGCTACTGTGCCTTGTGGATATCAATTGATACCTCTGTTTAGAGAAAGCTTTAGGACAATAACAATAAAAATAACAAAGAAAATCCACACCAACACAAAAACACACTCCTGAAACCACATGACACATCTCAAGAGAATGTTTGTGACTCACACTGAGGGAAATTATATGTCACTGCGCAGAGCCCCACCAGAACAGTGAAATAAATACTTGCTGTGTTTTGAGAAAGCTGTATTTCAATCATTATTTGGCTTTGTGCACCATTTTAAAGACACTACAGAAACACTGAAATCCAAGTTATCAACTGTAGCTGCAAAATTCAATGAAGTTCTTTACTATTCCAGATGACTGTAATGAATCTAAAACACATGTAAGTTGAAAAAGAAATGCAAAACTCCTGCTAAACAGTAGAAATAATAATAAAAGTAATAATGAAAGGGTTTCTCCTGTAATTAAACAAAACAAACTATTGAGTGCTTCCTCATTGTCCCTCTCCCTTTAAGTCTTTGGGGTAAAACTCTGCCTTCCCATTAATCTTCTAGGTAAGGTGCATGTGCCAATGAGAATAATTATTTATCAAGTGCTTCCCCTTTGGATTTTGTTGCTGTTGTGTTCTGTTTTTTATAAAACAAACAAACTGCCAAAGGCAAAGTTAGATTCAGAAATCATATGGTTAAATGCCATTTTGAATTCTTATAAATTTGACCCTTTCAGGAAACTACTTGGTACAGCCATCAGACATTTTGACGTGAGCCAAGCTGCCAGGATTGAAGTTGTCACTGTATATTGCTTCATGCTCAGCTTGCCTCCTAAGACTCCTTATAAAACAGCATTGTGATGGGACAGTATGGGGCATTAAGGGATATTTACCTTGAACTTTGTGCCCTAGGTTAGCACTTTGGGGCTCTAAAATCAGCAACTTAGTTAAAACTGACACACTGTTGTAAGCACTAACTTTCATCCAATTAAGACTTTGGAAGGTACATGTAGGAAACCCCTACTTTTTAGGTGCAAAACAATGTTATATGCTTTAGCAAGAACCCGAGAGCATGAAAAGAGATGAAAGCAGCTATTGAAACCATAGGCATAAACACACCCAGTTTCTTTATAACATGGATTGCAAAGTGCTTCAGCATGGTAATTTGGTGCTATATAGGTATTAATCATATGTTCAAATGGCATTACCATGTTGCCACCACTACAGACAGAGTTGCATTTTCAGCTTGCCTCGAGTGAAACAAAATCCCAACTTCTAATGTGATCTTAAAAGGCCACTTGCTTTTGAGGAGTAATCTTCTTGGTAGAAGACAACAATGCTGGCACTGACAAAACTCATTCATACAGGAAGCTAAGCTTAAGGGGAGATTGAAAGCAACTTAAACTGCTTAAGAGGAGGCACAGCTCTTTCATCATGAGAGCACAAGAAGGAGATCTAATGAATAAAAATTAAAAAGAAAAGGCTACTGTATTTTTCTACATTAAAATACTACCAATACTTTAAAATAATATTTTCCTAACATTTTTAAAAAGAGCTGGCATTTTCAGGCTACAGCTTGGTATGTAAATGCACATGGACAATCACTTGGAAGTTACTGAAAAATAAAAAGGTATCTGCCAACTAGCAGACATTGACCACACATTAGATGCACACAGAACACCACTAGAATAAAACCTTGTAGCCATTGCGCATGTCATTATTTTCTTAGGCCTGGACACATATCAACAAGAAAATAAGTGGACACCAGCTAAAATGCAAGTGTTGCAGGCATTTGGCATATTTTAATTTTACACATCATGTCACTACTTCCCATTATTTTCTGATTCAGTAGTAGAAGACATGCAAAAAACCAAAATGCAACCTTTCCAGTCCATTCCGTGGGAAATATTAAAGATATTATGGTAATATTTTTAACAAATAAATGTTATTTATTTAATTCAATTCTCTAAATACCTTTGCTATTCCTAAAGCTCTGAAACTAAGGGATGCACATTTATTTAACAATTTGTTAAAACATTCCTTGCAGCCATAACCTTGCACAATTCATTATGGTAAACTGACTAATCTGAAGGTGGGGTGGAGGTTTTTTAGGCTGATTAATCACAGAGTTGCCACAACTTTTTCTTTCAGGACACAGTAAGCTCTGCATGCCGCAGAAAGCCCACATCTACTGACAAACCTTGCTACTACAGCTCACTTTTCTTTCCCTGCTCAACTCACTCACTCCATTAAGACTAGCTGGAAGACTGAATTCGAGATATGTTGAAGATGCAACATCAAGCTTTTTTGAGTCTAGTTTCTGAGAACTAGACTCAAAAAAATTGTTTCAGGAAATGATTAGTTACACATTTGCAGCTGCTCTGCTGCAGGCAAAGGATGAGGTAGTTCAAATTCAAAGCAGGATTCAAACATTTTTCACAGCATTTCTACACATATACAACAAGACATGATCGTATTCCATGAGAAAGTTAAGAGTACTCAATTTGAGTTTAGAAAGCTGTAATTATGCACAGATGTACATTAGTGGATTATTTCACTACCATTATTTAAATCTTCTAGACCACTTCCCTTTAGTTTTGGTATATTTGTATGCATTGAATATTATATTCCTTACAAGCATTGTAAAGAAATTCGTCAGTTGTTATTTCACTTGGCATCAAAACCAATTTTAAACTGTTCCAGGTCCATAGGTATTGCTTCTATATTAAAAAAAAATTAAAATCACACTTAAAACTACTACTGTTTTCTTATTTTTGTCCCACAATACTTTTTTCCCTTTAATTATAGTTTCAAGTATCACGGATTTGACATTTAACAGCTACGAACTAGATCTCATTATAGCAGAGATTTCAACCCCACAGTGGCTTCCTATCAAGAGAACAACTTAACAACATGAAATATCCGTAGATACATTAAGATATCACAGACCTTACAAGTAGCAACTCAACACAGATCTCTGAAAAGCTCTTGAGTTTGGAAATAACTCAAGTGGGAGCTGACTGTGCTCGCAGTACAATCCATTCCTCTTACAGGCAACCTAGATGCTGAACAGCATGCAACATTTGGGCATAAGAGATGTCTGGGAGTTATGTGCTGTCTACCTGGTCAGGTAGATTCTCAGAGAAAATAATTGAGAAATGTATTTTTGTTGAACAAAATACATGTTCAGTCTTAATATCTGTTTTAGAACTTGTTTTTAGGTGTGGGCTACTGCAGACAGATTTTCTTCTAGTGCTGATTTTCTAAGAGGAAGGTCAATACTAGCAGCACCTTCAAAGAGCAGCATTTGATCCAGCTGCACTAATACCAGGCTGTGCTGCACCCAGCAGTACAGAACAGTCACACCAATTGATGGGTTTGGAAGGGGTGCTCTCACTGCGAGATGACTCCTCTCAGGACTTCATACACTTCTGGTCTGACCACATAATTAGGACCAGACACACAGAAGCACTTCCATGTTGTGTGGAGCAGCACTTGACACTGCAACAG